ATTTTGTTAACAAACTGTTATTTTGGGGCTGGACTGACTAATAAAAATATTAAATACTTGTAGCATCCAGAGCACCACTAGAAAGCTGCTTTTACTACCTCTGTCCAGCCCAAAGATTTCCCCATCGGTTAACCCTTTCTCATCCTCCCTTTGGCCATTTACTTTTTTACTTCACAAATCCCATACTAAACTCCACCTTGTACAGATTGATTATTAATTAAATTAGTAATTTCCCACTATCAAAGAGCTTCCACTGTGCTGATAGATGAGATCTTTGTCTTCTCCTTGCTGGGGGAACTCAGGTATCCTGTCCTATTAGCTGGGCATTACCCTTGGATGCCTACTGCATTTTGTCCCATTTGTAGATGTATTGCAACTATTATTTCCATCAAAACCTGTCGTGGCTGCTGACATGGTGCTAACCCCCCCTCCCTCTTCCTTCTTAAAGCAGGTACGCCAGACTCTTTGCAAAACAGTACAATTCTCCAGAGAGATAGGACCAAATATCTGCCTTTGGCCAAGTCTTGCACTTTGTGGTACTTCCCTGTCCCTACTCAACTCTTCCCATCATCACTTGGAGCATGCACACTGGCTGCAGCAAGCAGATCTCTACCAGGCTGGCAGTGGGCAAAGCCAACATCTTTTGCTAAGCATCCCTGTGACCCTCCTCTAAGAGAAGGCTTGGTAAAGCTGAGGCTTACAGCAGTCCCCAGACAAGCTCTCTCTGCTGCCGACATTCCAGTCCCCACGTGTCCCAAAGGGTGAGCACCAGGAGAAGGGGTCGGGTGTTCTGCACCCATCAGTTTTGCAGCCATAATTTCCCCGGTGAGTCTCCAAAGGGAATCAATCCCTCTGGGTTTCTAGTTTCAGTGATCAGCATTTTTATTTGAGTGTGTTTTTGTGTTTAGAGGTGGACCCAAACTGACCCCCCCAAAAAAGGGACACATCTTGCACAGCTTGGGCCCATCTCTCGTGCAATATCTTTTATGCGTAGATTGTATTTTACTCTGCAGCTGTCACATCGTTATCAGCACCAGTGTATACATAATCCTACTGCCAGTCACTATTTCATACTTACCTAAGTGTATCCCAGAAACTGTGACACTTTGGTGTCTCCTTCCACATGTAAGATGCTTCCCAGACTGTGTGCACAGGTTTTAACCCTCTTGTCCTTCTCGGTTTGAGCGTGTTATAATGTTTTTAAGCGCGAGTGTCACGTTTAGTGTTTGTTTGTGTCATGTAAAGAAATGTAGAGCACAGCGGACTTTACTCGTAACTGAATTGTCTCTGTTCACCTGCCAAGGGCACCGTGGTGGAGTCCCACGGGGACCGGAGGCAGAAGCGCAGTGCAGATGTGCAGCCAGGAGGAAGTCAGCCAGAAGTGAGAAACGGCTCTTCCCCTTCTTCCCAGTCAGGGCTCTGGGCTGGAGGGGAGGCAGCACCACACATACAGGGTACTGAGGGTTCTGGCTGTGGGGAAGCGCAGGGTGTGAAGATGGGCAGATCTGGAGAGGGGGATTTCACAGATGTCTCCTTATGGAGGCTTTTTCTAAACTGAGATCTCACCTAATGTGCTAAGGAGGCAAATCCAACACATAAGCATGAGGAAAGGCTCTGGTCGGGCTCAGCACTTAGCTCAGGTCTTGTGGCCAGTTCACAATGCAAACCACACAGACCAAGGGAGAGTCCTTGGCTGCCAAGCCAGCTCTGGGGGGTGCAGGCACAGCCTGACTGTGCTCCCACCTGGGGAGCATGAAGGTTGCCCTGGGACATGCCAAGATCAATCCGGTTGGCTTTGGCAAGGGCAGGGGACTGCTCCGGTGTGGCTGCATCAGCACTTTGGAGAGATGACCCTTGCAGGGGTGGGAGGAGGCAGGGAAGCCAACTCATGCTGGGAGGCTGCAGCGTCCCATCAGCCCTGTCCTTTCCTCCTCATGGACTTCACCAGAACTGCAGAGCTTGCCCAAATTCTGCCCTCTCCCCTTCCTGCTGCGCTGGCTTGTTGGCATCGCGCTGTTGCTCTGCGTCATCTCTGAACAGAAGCAGCATCTGCCTCCGTGCTGTCAGAAACCATCCCGAGGGCAAAGACAAAAACAGAGTTCAGACTAAGGTACCAAAGAGTTAACGTTTTCCTAGGTTTACAGATATATTTGTAGGGTTTGTATTATGTCACATCTATAGCCATGAGATACTATTTTTATGCTGTAAACTTTTACAAATACGTTTTTAAAGAAAGAGTTTAAAAATAAAGGTGTTTTTTCTTTTTGCAAAGTTCCATCTCTTCCTTTTGTGTGCTGGTTTTGGTTGCTCCCACTCAGATGGGGCTGGGAATACAGCTTAAGTGTGTGGTGGGTGAAGGCTAAGCATGTTAATACGCTGTGCATGACCCCAACGCTTAGTGAAAGCCAAGCTGGGAGCCAGGCAGAGAGAAGCACAGCAAGGCTACAGCTGAGCCCTGGGACATGGTAAGGAAAAGGGGCTGCAAACAGGGAACGATCTGCCCTGTCACGTTGGTAACTGACCAGTTTGTGGATCCCGTTGCACCAGGAGGAGGTGGGTAGAGGGAAGGACACAGAGGAGTTCCCATGTGTATCCCCCGTGCCTGAGGTTTGGGCCAGCAGCACCAAACAAAGGTGTGATGAGCTCCTTGGGATCATTGCTGCATCTGTGCTCAGATCTGGGTAGGGCTGCAGGAGATGCCAGGCTGAGCAGTGCTGAGCTGAAGGAGCTGGGAGACAGCACAGTGCTGTTTGTTAGCTTTCCCCCATAGTTTAATGGCTCAGGGTGACGGGAGAGCCTGGAGGCAGCAATGGGGCAGGGCACCAGCAGCCACGCTGCAGTGCACAGTGCTCCCCATGTCCAGCTCTCCTCCAAGCTGGGTTCTCCCCTGCCTCTGGGATGAGGAATTCACCGATACCCTTTAAGGATGAACCCCAAAACCCCTGCTCCCCACACTGCTGCTCCTCCCCAGCCCTGTGAGACAGGCACCTCCTGAGTGCAGCCCAAAGTTCTCTGCTCTCCTGGCTCCAATGGAGCTGCTCTTACAGAAAATGCCCCCAGGCTGCTGAGGGAGCAGTTTGAAGAGAGCTCTAAAACCTGGGGTTGATGTGAAGAGGGGTTTTTGAGCTGAGGTTCAAATAGATCCATGCTGACGCTGTTTTGAGGCTGCAAGATGCAGCCCAATGCAAGTCCCCATTGGCAGCAGTTGTGCCTCTCTCTGGAAACCCCTTGTGCACCCAAAGACCAAAGGCACTGGCTGCAGCACAAGGCAGCTCCAAGTCCCTTTTCCATGCTTTTCCTGCCTCTGCTCAGTTTGCCAGAGAGGAGGTTTGGAGGCTCCGGACCAGCTCAGGCTGATTCTCCCCAGATACTCTCTGAGTCACCCGGCAAGACTCAGCCACGACAGGCAGACAGGGCTGAATCAGCAGGGAAACAATCACCTTGTGTCCAGAGGGGCTGCAGGAAAGGCTGGGGGGGAGCAGGGAGGGGGAACTGGGAGACCTCAGCCCTGAACCCAGCTGGCTCCCACTGCCCGATCCCTGCCTGGCAGGTCTGCTTGTGGGGATGCGCTGTACACTGCGTGTGTGCAGGCTGAGACTTGTCACCTGTGGACCCACATCCCCTTGAGATGCAGAGGGCCTCCTCAAAGAGCAGAGTCTGAGCGATTGCTTCCCTTCTCTGCATTAAACCTGCCTGGTTCAGTGCTTGTTCTCACTGGTGAGTCAGTTCTCTCCCAGCTGGCATGTGTTCCTGGAAAAAAAGAGTTAAAAAGAAGAAGGAGGGAACCAAACATCCTTTAAAAAGCCCCTTTGGCTCAAAAGGAGGAAAGAATCATCAGGCAGACATCTCCTGTGGCCCCACTGCTTGACAGCCCCCCGGCTCTGGGCAGGAGCCCCCCAGCACACCACACTTCGCGTTCTTCTTCCCCACATCCTGCCAGGAAAAAGTGCTGAGAGGAAATCTCCTCTGGCCAAGAGCTGCCTTTCCTCCTCTCTGGATTCGCTCCGGCTCTCCAGCCATCCTCCTGGCCAAAACCAGGAGCTGTCTCCATGCTCGCATGACTCTTAGTCATCCCCAGCACAATCAGCCGTGCTCTCATCCCTTGGGACCTTGTCTTGTTGGTACCTCTCTAACTGCCCTCTTTGGAGAAGCCCATTCCCCTCAGTTTGTGGAGACATGGGAGCCCTTCTCCACATGCACCCTTGCATTGCAAGTGCAGGCTCAGCAGCCACCTTTGTGCAGTCATTCTGGATAAGTACATCTCTTTCTGCCCATGGTTTAGAGCCAGTGTCCCTGCCACCTGCCCACTGACAGGGCTGCAGCTGGGTGCTGCTAAGAGGAGCCTTCCATCAGGACCTTCCTCCCTGTGCTTCCCAGCACTGTCAGGTGCTGACTGTAACTTCCCATCCCAGAACTACCATGAACCATCATGAACTTCTGCTGCAGTGCAGGGTTATCAAGAGATAGAGCAGAGAGCAAAGGGCACGCTGGGTCTGACTGGATGCGCTAGCATCTTGCTGACTTGAGCATCCCTAGGACCACTGGTTTGCTTCAAGCTTACTGCTTTGGAAGAGGCTCAGGGGAGGGTTAACAAAGTGCCTCATTATTGCTCCCAGGTGCCTGGCAGGTTCTTCATTAGAAAGTGGCTTTAAAAGGCCTCTCCTCCAGCCAGGCAGTGTGATGGGTTGGATGGGGTTCTAAGGGGGTTTGTAATTTCTTGAGCCCTGATGGTAATAGGGGTTGCTGTGAGCCTCAGGCTTGGAGGTACTGGGAGAGGAGGAGAGCTGGGTCCTCATGTGTTCTCCCAGCCCTGCTGAGGATAAGGAAGGGTCTGCAGGCTGGATCCAATGTGTCTCCTGGTTGGGGAGGGTGGCAAAGGCAAAGCCTGCAGCTGGCTGGGCTTGATCCTTCCTCTGCATGGTGCTGGAGTGGGGCTTGGGGATGATCCCGTGTGGCCACAGGAGCCCTCTTTGCACCAGGGATTGTGCTCTTGGTCAAAGCAAAGTAAGCTGCCCTCTTCACAGGGAGCTGCTCCAGGTTGAGCCATCTCTGTGGACCTGTTGTGTGGGTGATGGCCATGCTCCTGTGTGGGTCCTCAGGACCTGAAGCCAGCAAGATCCACCAGGCCTGAGGTAAAATGGAGTCCCCCCATTAAGAGTACAGGACTCCTTAGGGGTTTGGGTGGCAATAGCTAGGGCTCACTGGCATGCTCCTAATCCCTGGCATGGTGCAGTGGTCCCTGGGGCTGAGCCCCAGTCTGGGGCGTTAGGGTGACCCTAACAGCAGTGGGGGACCAGCAGTGGGGTGCATGCCTGGCCCCACCTCTGCGCGGGGGCTTGTCCCTGGTGGCGTCCCCAAGCTCTGCTTGTTTTGTATTTTTCCCCTCCTGTTTCAAAAACAAACAAAAAAAAGGGAATTTCTTCACTTGCGGTCTCTCAGAAAGGAGAAGCTCCCACTGGGGACGGAGCTGCTGCTCGAGAGGATCCTGCACCGCATCCCTGCTCTGTGCTGCGGGCACCGTGCTCCCTGGGGACATGGGTCCTGCTCTCCTGCTGCTGCTCACCACAGCCAGCACCTGGCACGGTAGGTCCATCGGCACCCCAAAGTGCCCCATTGTCTCCATGCTACCCTGGGGCAGTTTGGGGGTGCAGTGAGGGTTTCCTGGGTGTCTGGTGTGGGTGCTCCATCCCTCAGGTGAGGAGGGGTGACAGCCACAGTGGTGCTGGGGACAGGGCAATGCTGAACTTGGACTAAGGGGCACAAAGCTGAGCCCCCAGTTGTGTCCACTGAAAACTTGCTGTGGGCTGGGAGGGTCCCTGCTTGTGGAGGCTGCTGCTTGAAGCAGGCACTGCTGCTGCAGACAGGTTCAAGGAGCCTTGGAATTCATAGGGAGCAGGCAGGAGAACATTTCTTCTCCATGGCATTGCATGGAGAGACACCAGCTTGGCATTTGGTGCAGCCTGGGCTTAGCGGCTTTCTGAAGGTCATCCAGAGCTGGTTTATTATTGTTATTCTAGAGGGAGGGCAGTGGTGGAAAGAGGGTGTGTTGTGAAGTCTGTGTTGGCTCTGAAGCCCCGCAGTGCTGAGGACTGGCTTGTGGTTGCCTGCAGCACTGCCAGGGTAAGGCCAAGGGGTATGGAAAGGAGCTCGTAGCATAGGAAGAGCCTTGGGAATAGGGGGAAGGGAGTCTTCGCACTGTTTGGGTCTGGGCAGGGGTCAGGAAGGAGGAGAGGTTCAGCAGAACGTGTGCCCTGAGGGGAGCTACATCTGAAATAAACCTTTGTCCAGACGGGTGGGAGCTGAAGGTGCTTGGGCTGCAGTGAGGGAGTCGGAAGTCAGCTGCATCCGCACCTTGGGATGCACCTTGGGGATGTCTGAGGATCGCTGTTCTCTGGCGGTGCTGGCACACACAACAGGGCTGTGGGGCCGGGATGTGATGGAAACAGAACTTGGGCAGCCAAAAAGGGAAAGGTGAATCCGCCTGGGTTATGAGGCTGCGGAGATTGCCAAGAGGCAGTAACCCATCAACCTCAAGAGTCACTGAGCCTGTTCTGAGGTTTCCAACCAAGCAGACAGACCAGCATTACTAATCTTACATCTGAAGTGCTGGCAGCCTCTCAAACCCTGTGTGGCACTTTCCTCTTGAACTTGCTTGGGGGCACAATGAGACTTTGGTGTAAGATTCCCCCCTGGAAGGGGGCAGTCCGGGAGCAAAGAGTATCCCTGAGCCACTTCACTGTTCCTGCTTTCACCCAGCATATTTGCATCCCACTTGCTGTTGCACTGCAGGGTTTTTTTCACTTCAAGTCATGTCTTTGACATGCTGAGCTTGTCATGTCTTTTTCCATGCCTGCTCTGCTGGGTTATGAAGGCTTCAGGACTTGTAATTCCTTATGTTTGTGATACCCTGGCATGGCAGGCAGGGCCTGAGAAAGGGTGTCAGACACACGTTTGTCAGAGTACTAGCACTGTTGGCCATCTGCAGCACAAAACTGCATTGTGCCAGGGTTGTCCAAAGCCATTGCCTCAAGCTGGAGTCAGAGCCCAGCTTCCTTCTACCTCTTGGATTGCAAATGCATCTTCTGAGAGTAACCAGGGCTGATGTGTATGTCATGGTATGACCACCCATCATACCCATGGGCTCTTGCTGAGGGGAGTGTCAGGGGCTCCAATCCCAGTTTCAGATCAAGCAGCAGAAAGACTTGAAACCTGATCAGGTCACATCTGTGGTTTTGGCTGTTTTGAGAGGTCTTCCTGGGGTTTCTTTTGTTATTGTGGGTGATTTAAAGAAACCCCTGACACACACGTGATGAGCACCCTTTTCCCTGTGCCCTGCCTCACAGGTGCTGTGGGTGACTCTGGGGAAGGTGTCCTCAAACAAAGCATTTCCTTGCCATCACTGAGTGGGGAGAGCAAGGAGACCTCATGCCTAGTATGAGTGCCAGGGCCAGACCTTAGCCTAGTTATCCCCTGGGTCAAGTCGAGGTCCTGATGACTGGCTTCTGTGGTAAGGCTCTCGAGCATCTCTGTTACAACCTTCCCTTCTTCCTCACCATTTCCAAACCATCGGCAGAGGAAAGTAATGTTTTGGCTGGCATGGGAGAGGCAGGGACAGAGCCTGCAGCTGTAACTGGAGGTCAGGGTTACACAACCCAAGTGTGGTAAAACCATTGGCCAGCAGTTCCTGGCAGTGCTGCGGAAGCTGCTGGAGAGCAGCAGAGACATCCTTGGGCTTCATGCAAGATTGCACCGTGGTCAGCAGGGAGAGAGCCTGCCCAGCAGCACTGCTTCCCCATTCTGGATAGGGACCTGCTGCTCTGACTTATCCCCAGCACACACAAAGGAGTGGATGCTTGGGTGCCCTTCCCCTGCATTCAGTGTCTGCCCTGCCTGCCCTCACTGCACTTGTGTGGTGGTTGTGCTAGTGACAGGAGCCTCCAGTGACAGCCTGAAGGCTGCTGGCTTCTTCACTGTTATACAGAGCAACCACCCTGACCCTTTCTGGCCACAGTATGTCAGTGGAGGATGGTGACAACGAGGATGCAGAGTGATGTGACTCTTGTTTTTCCTGTCCTCCTGGTGTGGCCAAACCAAGGACCAGTTAGAACATGGTCTCTCCTCCCTGAGCCAGTTTGAATGCAGCTCTGCGTCAGAGGGCTTGTGTACCCCATCAAATGATGCTGAAGCCTTGGATGTGGAGGGATAGCTGAAGCAGAAAGTAGGGATAAGCATCCAATGACAGCTAAAGCAACAGAAATATGTCAAGGCCTGCTAGAAAACACACCAAAAAGGGAGAAACCTTGTACCTCATGTATGTGGAAAATGTGGGTTTGTGAAGGATTCTGGGATATGTTTTTCTCCACTTAGGGAATAAATGAGGCTTTTCCTCTTTCCACAGAAAGATAAAGGCATCACGCACACAAACCCAAACAGAAAAAAAAAGCCTCAACAGATAAAATGACAAATATTCCATGCTCTGAAGCTCCGTGTCCTCTGCTGCTTCCCACAGGAGCAGTCAAGTTGATACAGGCCTTGTTTGGGTTTCCTCTGAAAAACTATATCCTCGTCATGCACCAGTAACACTCTCCAGGGCCTTGAGTCTCATGTTCTCAGCCTGTTGTTGCATGGAGGGAAGCATCCATCCAAGACTGCTTAAACGATGCTCTTGGGCTCTTATGGATGGGCTCTGGTCTTACAGCCCTGAGCACAGCTGGAAGCACAGGGCACATTTGTACCCTGAACATAGTCTTGCTCACCACATGAGCTGTGAGCAGGGGTGGATGCTGCTGCTGCTGGTGGTGTGTTACAGGGACAGTGTCTAAGGCAGCACCAGAGAATGGATTTGCTTTAAACTGTCTTTGCTACCCATGACCATAGCAGCCTTCTCTTCCCTCCTCCCTGCAACAAGGGCTGTCATATCTGACCACTATTCCCTTTCCCTTGAAGGAACATATATGTTATATGTATACATATATGTAGCTGGATTAATGGTATCATTATAAGGTGCTTTTCCCTCTCCCACCTCCTGATGAGTTCATTCAGACTTCAGATCATTCAGCTAAAGAGCTCCTATGAGTTCAGAGCAGTCTGCTGCAGAGTTTGACCATCACAAGCCCAAACCCAGCCCCTGTTTCTGTCCCCCCCTCCCCAGAGGAGCACAGCCTGCAGTGCCCTCCTCTGCAAAGAGCATCAATTGATAAACTGGGCAGCTACCTTTATACTTAGTGTTATTTAAACCTTGGTGTGTGTCCCTTTAAGCTGTTAGCAACTGGGAGGGAAAGCAGAAGTGGGAGAATAGCCCTGGATAGGGGCTGGAGGGGGGTGCGGAGCCCCCCGAGCACAGATAGCCCTTTGCAATGTGTTTCCTGTCCTCCCGAAGGCCTGCCGTGGGGGTGGCAGTACCACTGCTTCCCCAGCCCCGCGGCACTGATTCATTTCTCACTTCCCCCCACCCTAAATATAGGTGGTGACTCAAAGAACTCGCTGACACGGCAAAACAGGGAAAGAATATTTCCCCCTGACACCGAGGGCTGGAGTGGGACCCTGGTTCCCCTTTATTCAGCCAGCAGAGAAGCCATCTTCAACATAGAGATGGCTTTGGAAACCCAGATGGGCTGTGATGCCACTGTCAGCATGGCCCAGGGTGCTCATCTACAACTGCAGCCATGGGCTTTCATGGGCTGTTCAACTTTCCTGTGTCTCAGTTTCCCACATATACTATACTATATAAAATATATAATAATGCTGACTCCTTTTGTAATGTTTTGATGGTATCTGGGAATAGAATGCACTGTGTGGTTCCATGACAAGGCATGTTGGTGTCCCTGGAAATCTAGTACCTGGTAACCAAAAAGTCAGTGCAAGGGCATACATTGACCTCCTGCTCTGCATAAGCTTTTCAGGTCTGAGCTCATCACAGCAACAGAGAGCCCCATCCACTAGACCTTACCTAAACTTCACCAAATGGTGCTATGGGCTGACCCAGTTCATTTAGCAACTCCAGCTTTGTCACAAAAGGAAAACTGTTGTAAGATGAGGCAAAACCCACCAGGAGCAGTCTGCAAGCTAGCATCAGACCTTATCGGCTCCAGATGATCGATTTTCCTGTCCCAGTACTCAGAATGTTCACATGTGGGGTTTTCTGCCTTCCCTCAATTCATTCCTAGGAGTATCAGCTGTGTCTGTCTGGTGGATAGAGAATGGAGTGCTGACAGCCAGTCTGAATGCCAGGCTCAGCCTCCTCCTGATGCTGAGCTACTCCATACTCAGCAGCGTGAACTCCAACAGAGCATCTTTAAGGACCACTTTTGCATCCTCACTCTTTCTCTTTCCTTTGTAGGCTCAGTATCCCTGGTGATCAGTCCTGACGTCCCTGCTCTGGTTGTCAGCACAGGTGATCCAGTCACCTTGCGCTGCTCAGGGAAGTCCAAAGTTGAATGGCAAACCAAAAAGGATGTATTCAGCAATGACACCAGCAGCACGCTCAGCATTCCCAAGACCACTTACAGGGACACAGGCACCTACGTGTGTGCTTATGTCAACAGCAGTGACAAGAGCATTGCAACTGTGCATCTGTTTGTACGAGGTAACCATGCTTCCCTCTTCCAACCTATGCTGGCAGAAAAGCCTCCTTCCAGGCAGGGTTCATGCCCATTACACAGCTCCTTTCTATGGCTGCGGTTGTGTGTGTGTTTGGGGACCAGTGTGGGCTCCTCGTAGGGCAGTGGCTCACCCACAACCATGTAAACCCACATAAAATGGGGCACGGGGATGAAGCACTGGAGTACAGAGCTGCATCTCCTGCATGTGTGGGAATGGCCGGAACCTCTCCCTGTATTTAACTTTGCTTTCCTTCCTGAAAAACCATGATGAAAGTCTGTTTGTTGGTGTTTTGAACAGCGAGATCTGGAAATCAGAGACCATATTAACAGTACCGCAGATAAGGGAGAGAATCACATGAATCACATCCTTACAACATGACCTGAAACCCAAAATATTCTTTTACCCCAGAAGAAGTTATACTGTGGCAGCTCCATCACTTGAGTTGACCTCTTCCTTTGTACCAGAGATTCAACCCTGGGCAGGGAAGCTGGAGGTCTGATAACTAAAACTAACACCATGATGAAGAGTTTAATTAGAAGTAATCATCCTTGCCAGGCTCTCTTGCCTCTGTGCGTTTTGGGGTTGGTTGCTGTGCTCTCCTTAAATGCCTTGGCTGAAATTGGGCTTGTCGTGTGGGTTTTTGGAGGCTGAGTCAGGCAGGCGTCGAGGAGGGCTGCCCCCAGCGTCGAACTCCCACTGGGCAGCAGTGCTGGAGATTTGCCTTTGTTGGGATGTGTTTCTGATGCATTTTCTGATCCCATTCCTTGGCTGACCTTGTCTCCTCCACAGATCCCAATAACGTGTGGAACACCCTGGCTTTCCGGGTCGGTGTGACCAGGGGTGGTAACGCTGAGCTGCCCTGTCTCATCACGGCCCCCGAGTATGGATCCAGTGTGACCCTGATAATGGATGGCGGCTCTCATCTCCCACCCGGGACCAACTATTCTTTCAGTGCTGAGAAAGGAATGACACTGTACAATGTGCAAAGCAAGCAGAAGGGCTTTTACAGATGCCAAGCAGTGATAAATGGAAAAACTGAGAAGTCACCAAGAATGAGACTGCTTGTGGAAGAAGGTAAAGGCTTGGGGTTGCTGGTGTCCTCAGGGAGATGGCAATAGCTAAGATGGCCACAACACGTAGTTAAGAAAAAACTCCTCACCAGTGGAAGGAAAGACCTGAACCTGCAGTCTTTAAAGGGTGTTTAATGGAGGCAAAATTCCATCAGCTCCTGGCAAATTACCGGCAGCGTTAAAATCTTTGCCAGCACTATCTCAGAACAGGAAAAATATCCACCTATCTCCCTGGTGTACTTCTGCAGGTCCTCAGGCCCTGATGCTCAGGTCATACCCATGGCAGAAGGTTCCTCTTCCCTTTCAACCCACAGTGCTGACTGCTGTGTTCTACCTGTACTACTCCCCATAGACACATGCACTAAAGGAGTGGTGATTGCTAGGGAAGGAGAAGGCTAGGGAAGGTAAAGAGACTGGAGAGGATGGAAAGGAAAAGGTAGCCAGGCCCTAGGGAGTCTCCAAAGCACTTAAGGTCTCTGGACCAGCTGATGCTGAATCTTTCCATGCTTGCCTTTGTGTAGCTCTGGAGAAGCCTGTGTCAGTGATGATGGATCCTATAGACCACGTGCGAATTGTGGGCGAGCCTTTCAAAGTCACTTGCAGAATAACTGCTCCTTCCCACAAGTACGATGTCAGATGGGTGACGGCAGCAAAGAACGTAAGTTGTGGAGCTTCAAGAGGGAATAGGGCTTTCCTGGAGACTGGGAGATGTAAGAACTACCCAGCCTCAAGTCACCTGCCCAGCCAATGCAGCTATTCAAGCAAGCTGTAGAAATATGAATATGGATATGTCATTTCCTTGGGATGACACAGGGTTAGGAAATACCTGTCCATGGTCAGGATCTTGCTGCAAGAGAGAAGGAAAGCGTATTGTCTCAGGTGAGTTTATTGAGCAGGAGCCACAGTACCTACTAAGGCAGCACTTGTTCATTTTGTAAGCCAGGGCTTATGAAGTAGCAAATATGTTCAGGACACCCAATTCCCCAGAGGAAAAATATGGATAATGAAAGGGAATGCACTTCAGAATATCTGTGGTGCTGGCTTTTAACTGCTGGGTGGTTAGATGGGGTTTGTTAGAAGTCCTTATTATACCTGATGTCTTTATTAAGGAGTTGAAATAACGTACGAGATATGTTTGGATCACACAATGTAAGCCCAGCTTGCAGTCAAAAGGCTGACAACAGCTATTATAACCAGAACTGATGTGGAATGTCTGCCCTGAATACTTCAGTTTAATATGCCTCTTGGTCTCCACCCAAATGGCTTTCACTGACAGTCTCCATAACCAAGCTCAGTAGCCCAGAACAAGAGGGGGTGGGTGTTTGTGCCATAAATATTCGGTTCCACCTTCTCCCTTCCAAGGAAGTGCCTGATGCTCCCTCCCTGCCTGACAGGTCTCCACAGCTCAGAATCGTAGCTTTGAGAATGAGAACTACTTCATCAGCGATGTCCTGTCCGTTCCAGCCGTGTCCATGGAAGACAGTGGGAAGTACACCTGCGTAGCTAACAACTCAGTAGGAGTCAGGAATGCCTCCACAATGCTTCGGGTAGTAGGTGAGCGCCTTGATCCTGCCTCCATCCTGTTCCTAGGTTTGTTGTTGGAAACATGGTCCTTGCTTGTGCTTGAGAGCTGTGGAGCTGCTAGGAGAAGAACTGGTGTTCCTTCCGTGTCTTGAGGGGAAGGAAGTCGTGTTTTGGATGAACACCTGAAAGCTCTGCTGAGTTTCTGTGTGTTTATAAAGATCTTTAAAACAAAAAGACCAGGAAAGGCTGGCTACAAGGAAGGGCAAGCCACATGAGCAGAGTATGGATCTTTGTCTCTTTCAGAAACAGACCCACATAAGAGGATTTGGGTATATTATATGTTTGTTTGTACCTCAAGAAGGAAAATTCATCCTTGCAGCTCATAGCTGGGGTTTGCTGATGACCCAGATTTGTGCATACCATGGCTTAGAAAGGGCTTGGTCTGTTTCCAAGTGAGAAGCCAGCAGTTCAGCTCAGCAGCCTGTCTTCTACAGGTGATCAAGGAGATACAGTTTTAGCCTCATCACTTACTAGGATATGGCATGTAAAACCTCTTTGCCCGTTCATTAAGGTTTTCCAGCTCTCCTCAGGCAGAGTGTAATCCAAGCTGCCATCACAGAGCAGCCCCTTACAGGTACTCCTCTGGCAACGTGAGCTGTTCAATGCCTCATTCCCTCCTGCAGTCTCACTGCTGAAGCTGCCCTTTCCAATAACAGTCCATTTATGAAGCTGGTAGGAGTTTATTCCATGTCTCCGGACATGCCTGCTGATGGCCATGCTCTCTTCCGTCCTCCAGAGAGAGGTTACGTGTTCCTTACCCCGCTGCAAGCCACCAGCCAGGAGGTTGCTTTGGGAGAGAGTCTGATGCTGCAGGTCCAGATTGAGGCTTACCCAAAACTTCTCCGCTGGGGCTGGGAGCACACAAACCCCCTGAAGAACACTGAGAGCACCCCAGTGCAGGGCCAGATGATGCCTGGAAACAACCGGTATGTGCTTTCTGGCTTATACCCTGGCCACGGCGTGTTTCCAGCAAGGCTTTCCTTGTGATACAGCCAGACGGAACACTGGATGTAAAGAGGGGAGCTGTTCTGCCTTTCAGTCTTCCCTTTCCGACATTATTATTAGCAAACCACAGTGAGCAGCTCTGATCAGGTCAAGGAGGACACCACCTCTGTCTGACTTGGCAGCCTTCTCTATAGAAAACCTTGCTGAAGTCAGATCCCATTTGTGGTCTGGTTGCTCAAGTGCACGCTCTCTTTGAAGGAAGACATTGCAGGGGTGGATGAACAGTACAAAACACTGAATTCCCTTGGGGCTTCTCAGACCTGCCCCATGCTCTGAGGTCTGGAGAGTGTACGCATCCAGCGGCACTGTGCACCCATGTCAAGAGGAGCCATAGGACCTCACGGAGGGCACAGGCCTGCTCTCCCAAAGCCACCAGCTAACTGAGGCCAAAGGGAGACCAAAAGAAAGGGAATAATTCCCCTTTCATTTTCTTAGAAAACAGAATTAATCCACAAGAGGAACTGCACCACTCAGCAAAGCAGAATGGATTTAGGGCAAATTATTTCTTGCATTGGGGTCTGAGAAATGGGCTGGGGCAGAATGGAGTGGGCAGTAGGGACTGTGACTTGATGGGCTAAGAAATGGAATAACTCGTTCTGCCAAAGGCAGGAGGACCAGCATCCTCTGGACCTTCAAAGGTGATGGTTCAGATGTTAAACTCTTCTTTCTGAGCTTTCACCCACCATAGCCTTTCGGAAGTGCTGTGCACTTGATGGCAAAAGGTCTTTCCTCTAAGGAAGATCAGACCTTCTCCTGCAGAAGAAGTAGCAAAAGCTGGGATCAATGCTGAGAAATGTTCACCCACTCCAGGGCATGGGAAGCAGCAGCATCTCACTGAGCAAAGACTGTAAGTGCCTGGGTTTCCTCAGAACAGCTTATTCATGGTGTTTACTCTCTCTGTGTGAACAGGTATAACAACACGCTCTTCCTTAACCGCCTGCAGGAAGGAGAAGGAGGTCTCTATATGTTTTATGCCATCAACAATGAAACCAATGCATCAGTTACCTTCAGTATCTCTTTGAAATGTAAGTGCTTTCATTGCTCTTTCATTCTGCTTGCCCTGGGGCTGCTGCCCAGCTGGTAGCAGGTAGCATGGACTACGAGGGTGCTTGCAGCCCAGTGCTCACACAACACACAGCCCAAACCCATGCATAGCACAGGGCTTCCTTCTGTTTTATCGTTGCGCACATGGAAAGTAAATCAGAGCCCAGAGAATGTGGTCATAGCATTCACTGTTCATGTGCCTTCCCCAACAGCTCCTCCAAGGCTCTGCAAAATCAAGGTGGCAGCCAACGACTCCAGCATCCTCCAGTGCATGGCCATCGGCTACCCTGCCCCACGCATTGAGTGGTACCAGTGCCCCGTTCACTCTGATAGGTAAGAAATGCCCAGGAGACCGAGCACCTCCAAGGTGCGCAGCTCCTCTTGCTAGGCTGACATCCATGGAGCAGGTAACATAGCAGAGCCTGATCAGTAACAGCAGCAGGGATGCTGCCCTCCTAAAAAGGTTCCTGGGGACTGAGGAGAGGAGCAGTTACTGTTCCTAAAGTCCTGACCTTAAAGAGTTCAGACACCTGTGATTCATGTTCTCCCAGTGCTTTTCTGAGGAACATGTGGATCCCTTGGAAAAGCGCCTTGCTGTAGAGCTACATCCTGGCTGGTCCTAGTCATCTTTCTGGGGCCTCCACAGGTCTAAATCTCCATAGAGCACAGGATTACTGAGCTACAGTGTGATGGAGACAACAGCAGCTGCCTGGTCAGGGGTTGCTGTGTCTCACACCCATTCGAGGGAACTGCTGGCAGATCACAGCTGTAGCCACATAAAGGCAGTCAAGGCTCTGTCTACACAGGGCTTTATGTTAAGAGGCAGGTCTTTAACTGGGCCAAGAGTATTAAATCACAGAACTGCATTAGTTCCCTGTGTCTCCTCCCTAGACTGATACAGGCATCAATTCATTTATGAGCAACTGTGCTGCAAGGGACACTCATTCTCCCCTGCTTGGTATCTCTGCAGATACGAGGACTATAGGCTGCTACTGAATGACTCCAATCCCCAAGTGGTGAACGTGTTGCCCTTCCGAGAGATGGAGGTGGAGAGCAGCATCCCCTTCCAGGAGCTGGGTGCCAACTTCACCTTCTGTTGTATGGCCTTTAACAGAGAGGGGAACGCTTCTGACGTGTTTCATTCACTCACCATCACCAGTAAGATACAAACTGGTAGCTTGGCAGAGTGGGGAAGGATGTGGGGGCTTTTTGAGGACCCATCTTTCTACACGTCTATCCCTATTGTCTTTCATGAGAGGTGGAATAGATTCCACAAGCCGCCTGTCCTCCCAGGAGTGGGGAGGCTTTGGCATTTGTCAGTCCTGGGAGCCATGTGGGAATTGCTGGCTGGGCAAAGGCTGAGCCATGCCATGAACACCTTATAACTGCAGGACCCAGCTCCAGAGCGCAGGAGCTGTTACCCACTGGAGTCCGGGGGTTGCATCCTTTAATGGGACTGTTCTTGCTGCACGTATCTCAGTCCCCAGTCAGTCTGACCAGTACCTGGTGCTGTTTGTGTGGAAATTGGGTGCATGAGCGGAGCCACTGCAGCTTTAAGTTTGGCATCAAGAACCTTTCTCAGTTCCCAGCAGCATTTTAGGGTGTCTGTGTGGTCAGTGCTGGGTTGTGTTGCGTACAGGGGAAGCTGAAGTGATCAGATGGGCAAAATGCTCGTAGAGGTACAGCTGAAATAAGAGTGTTTAACTCATTCCTGTGTTTTTCTCCTCCAGGAAGTGTCATGGCCCCCCCAAACAAACTCTTCAGCCCCATTCTCTCCACCTGCATCGGCACATCGGTTCTGCTGCTCCTTCTCCTGCTCTTCCTCCTCTACAAGTACCACCAGGTCAGATTCCCTGTTGTGTAGCATGGGCTGCCCAGCTTCTGCTGGCAGCCACAGGCAGGGAGCATTCAGCCTGGAGGCACCAGGCAACTGCCTCCCTCATCTCCGTTGCCTCCCAGCTTCTCCCAGGTGTTTCCTGCACTGTACCCACTCTGTTAACACCTCTCCTGCCCTGGCCCCTTAGTCCTGTAGCCCGGAGGTCAGTGTGGCTATTTCTTGGTGTCAAAGGTGCTCATTCTGGGCTGTCAGTTGCAGATGGTTTCGCTCTGGTAGCCTGAATCCACAGGCTGAATTAACAGAGGGGAAAACAAAAAGTGGTTTGCAGCTTGCAGCTACTTCTTATTCTCCTCCCTGCTTTATGCAACGTTGTCTTTATGGGGGAACAGGATGATGTTAGAAGGCGTTTGTCTCCAGGAAGACTTGGTCACTATTTTTATACAAGAACCTGCCCCATTTTCTCTGCAAGAACTCATTTGCAGCATTTAGAATCTTCTGGTTGTTTCCATAAACTGTACCCATCAACAGCCACCCCTGCTCCATCAGTGGGTGACAACCTCCTGGTTCTCAGCTCTCCCTTTTGGCACTCATCCTTTGACAGCCTATCAAGGCTGCGGATTTCACAGCAAAGTTCTGGTGCTGGTTGTCAGAAGATCCAATAGAGCCCTCTCCCAAACACCTACAGCTTTGCAGGCAGAGCTGTACTGGGCCTGTAGTCCAGAGACATGAAGGGTGCATTGATGTGCAAGTAGCTCTGAAGGAATAGCTTTTAGGAAGGTCTTGCAAGCCCAAGAGAAGCAAGATGTGTTTATAAACAGTCTCAGCCATAAGCTTCTTTAGCCATGGCTGATTGCTGCAGTGCTATAGGTGAATCGTGGAGCAGAAAGCAGCAATGCTCACCCTCTAGGAGCAGACAACAGCGAATACACTGAGTGCATGTGGCATCTTTTATAAGGGATCTCCACCAGAAACTGTGCTGCTTGGAGCATCCTGTCTGAGCCTTTTTCAGCAGCCTGCATGGGCGAGGATGTTCAGCTTTCAGGCAAAGAAAATAGAAGCAGTGTGGGGGAGAAAACAAGCAGATGCTTTGCATCAAAACTGCAGATCTGTTTGATTCAGTTATGGTCCCTCATGCCTGTGCTAACCGAGCTTTGAGCATCTCCTCACACACTGCATCCTTCTCTGCAACTATGTGGCAGTGGTGAGGAGAAGCATTCCAGCACACACCTCCTGGTAGCTGGGACCTGAGGGTCTCCATCACAGCCATGGTCATTCCACCCTGTGTCTGCCTTGATGGATCTGAGACTGCCTTTACCACGCTGGTCCTTGCCTGTCTCCTTGAACAGGAGCAAAGGCCACGCTCACAAAGCTATTTCACTGTCTGTATTTGTATGTGTGCTCCAGCCTGGCTCCTGAGCCCTCTCAACATGAAAGACAACCTGCGGCACAAGCTCTGCTCACAGGCTCCATCCAGCACTGCTTCTCCCTGTCTCGCTGGGTTACTTCTGCCATGAGATTCACAGAAAAGAGAAGAAATTCTGACTTCTCTTTCTCCGTTTCTTTTTTCCCTGTAAGGGAGGTGGGGCTGGGGCCACGCCATTGTTCTGCTGTGCTCAGCAGCACAGGGCACCAGCCAAGGGCATACAGTGCAGACATCTCCCTCCAGCGCCAGCTGGGCACTGCCAGACACTGGCCTGCTGGAACATTGCTGGTCCCAGCTCTGCCATCCCAAGTGAGGGCATGGGGCTACTTTGAGTAAGAGGCAAGAGAGCCTCCTGCAACCATGGGTCATGACTTGGAGGGCTTTGGAACAGCAAAGGGACCAGGTTGTCCAGGAAGACCCTGTCTCAATCAGTCCAGGTTCAAAGCAAGAAGTCTTTGATGGGCTGAAGCCTGTCCTCCCCTCTGTGCCTGCAGTGAGAGCTGGGACTGGGGAACCCCCGGGACTTGAGGAACATTGAATAACTGCAGTGTCTTCCTTACAGAAACCCAAGTACCAGGTGCGGTGGAAGATCATTGAGGCCTGTGAAGGGAATAACTACATCTTTATCGATCCCACTCAGCTCCCATACAATGAGAAATGGGAGTTCCCCAGGAATAACCTCCAGTTTGGTAAGAAACTTTCCTCACTGCTTGCCTGGTGGTGTGCAGCTCATCACAGAGCTGAAATGCTCCAAGGGACAGAGCCAAAGCAACTGGGCAGTATCCAAAGCTGCATCCAGGCATCACAGCAACATCCTTGCCCAGGCGTTGCTGCCCTCTTTCACACAGGGTGGCAAATCTTAGGGTACAACCTCCCTCTATTGCTCTGAGGAAGGTTGAGAGAATCATGTCCCTCCTCTGGAACAGAGCTGGTGAGCCCACGGTTGGACATGGCCCCTTTCCTACCCTCTTTGCTCACAGCAGAGTTCCCCTCAGATGTTAATCAGCTCCTGACTAAGGGATGTGTCATCTTGCCTGGGCTCAGCAGGAATCCCCTCCCACCAGACATCCTCCTTGAGGCTCATGCGGGACAACTGCTCAGTCTTTTTCTATGAAGCATCTCATAAGCACATTTTTTATTCCCTTTGCAGGAAAAACTCTTGGAGCAGGAGCCTTTGGAAAAGTGGTAGAAGCCACTGCTTTTGGGCTGGGCAAAGAAGATTCCGTCCTCAAAGTTGCTGTGAAGATGCTAAAGTGTAAGCAATCTGCAAAGGCTGAACACCCCCCCATATCCTTTGGGCAGGATGCAGGGTGTGCTCACCATGTGTTGGTGCTCCTACTTTTGTTGGATGTTCCTGTGACAAGTACTGGTGTTGGAATCACATTGCTGCCATCCTTGTAGACATGCATGGCCAAAGGCACAGGGGATGCAATTTCCTCTGAGTGTGCCTCCTCCTTTTGTTCCGTACCTGTGCCTACATCTTTTTCTGTCCTCTCCCTTCATCTCTTCCTTGCCCCTTCCTCCCTTCTTCACACAGCCTTTCCTCTCTTGTCTTGCAGCATCAGCAGACACGGACGAGCAGGAGGCTCTCATGTCTGAGCTGAAGATCATGAGTCACTTGGGACACCATGAGAACATTGTCAACCTGCTGGGAGCATGTACCTATGGAGGTAGGATCCTACAGCCCTGCTTCCCCATGGACACCTCCCGTTGCCTGCCCCTCTGAGGCTCTTCCCTCATCTCACAACAGAGAGCTGATGATCTTGGCAGTGTTTTTGAATGTGTAACTGTGCAAGGGCCCGCTTCCAGACGTGCTCATGGTGCAGTCTGGGTTCTGCTGCCCTCCCAGGGAAAGCAGTCCCCAGGACAGGCCACAGTAACATCAATTCTTAATTAACCCTTCCTGCCTCTCTCCCAGGCCCAATCCTCGTCATCACAGAGTACTGTCGCTATGGAGACCTGCTGAATTTCCTCCGGAAGAAGGCTGAATCCATCATTATCCAGGATTCTGCACTGGACATCTCTTTAGATAGTGCTGCTGATTACAAAAACATTGACCTAGAGAAGAAATACATCCGGAGGTAAGGGCAGAGTTCAGGTGGCCACAGGGTACTTGCTGGGAGAAGTCTGCTGGGGAAAGATTGAGGCCAAAGCTTTGGGGGCTTGCAGAACACCAGGATGTAAAAGCCACTGGGGCTGTGTACGTTTAGATTTGGTTACACACCCAAGTTTTTCAGTGTTTGGCAGCAGTCATTGAATATCCCAGAATAAATGCATATTTCCATCCAGTCTGTCCTCCCACAATCTGGAATCAAAACTTTCTGGCTTCCTGCACTTTTGGGCGCATGGGTTTTATAGGACAAGAGGCTGAGCACTCCCCACCAGCAAAAGGCAGCCCCTTGACAAAAGGGTACCAGTATTTGGACCTCCACACCATAAGGCACCTTCGCTCCCTTTCTGAATTGGCCTCAACACTGACTCTCCTTTCATCCTCAAGCCTCAGGCTAAGCCACTTCCCCCAGGCAGGGACTTGGTTTCTTCTCTCAGTGGATGTGAAGGGCAGAAGGTACTGCTGGAGGGTTGCTAACAGCCTGCCTCCATCTCTCTTGCTTCTGACTCAGTGACAGTGGCTTTTCGAGCCAGGGTTTGGAAATGTATGTTGAAATGAAGCCTGTGTCGTCATCATCATCTTCAGCATCATCAGATTCTGCACAAGCCAGGGGTGAGATAAAGGTTCACTTCTGAGTTTCCATGATTGCTTTATCCTGGCCCTACCCCATGTGGTTTATCCTGGGGAGCCAGGGCACAGCACAGCTTTTGGTACTCGCCAGGTTTGCATCAGCTCTTCAGCTTCACTTTGAATTCCAGGGAAAAGCCCAGAGGAAGAAGATGGAAGCAGGGAGGACCTCTGTCCCCTCAACCTCTCTGACCTCCTGCAGTTCTCCAGCCAAGTGGCCCAGGGCATGGCATTCCTCGCATCAAAGAACGTGAGTGCCAACAGGACAACTGCTCTCAGCATCCCAACTGGGAAATGCCAGTGCAGGCAGTAGGCACCATCCATCTTTGTCTGCATGGGAATTGGGATATTTTTGGATGGGGTGGCCAAGCTCAAGCAAACTGCTGCTGGAAATGGGACTCTGCTCTGTTTGCTGGGGTCAGACATGCTGTGCCATGGTGTCTGGTGTCCCTTTCAGGGCCTTTGTCTCCCAGGGGTTACAGGCAGTGTTAAGGCTGGGAACCCAGGGCTGCGTGTCCTGCTGGTCTCACCATCTTCTCCCCAGCTTTTGCACAAGGTCAGGAACTTGATGCAAAGCTTTCTTACTTTGGCAGCTTCCCCACTGCCTCAAGGACAGGGAACCAAAAGTAGCCATTGAGAGCTGTCTGCCAGAGCTGGCTCATTTGGTCAGTACCAGAGAGTCACTGTGTGACTGTTTCAGAGATGAGGACAGTGTCAACAGCCCCTGCTTCTGAGCCTCCTCCCACGGGGAAGATGATGCCCCCAGGGGTGACTGTAGCTTGAAATGTTATGTTGCACCAGCATTGCAGAGCCTGTACTCCTTATACGTGACACAGTGCCTATGGCAGGGGCTTTTCAAGCAGTACATGTTCCCTTTGCCTCTGTTACGTGTTGTTTCAGTGACAGGCCCCGGGCTGTAGGGAATTAGCTGGGACTGCTGGGGGATGTTGGCTGGGTCTCAGTTGTGCTCTCTTCTCTCCAGTGCATCCACCGTGATTTAGCAGCCAGGAATGTGCTCATATCAGATGGACGGGTAGCCAAGATCTGTGACTTTGGCCTGGCCCGGGATATCATGAATGACTCGAATTATGTTGTAAAAGGCAATGTAAGTAATTGAAATGAGGACAAGGGAAGGTACAAGGGTATTGTGCCGCTGGAGCATGAAGGATGTGGGATAGGGTAAGCTGCCAGCTTGTCCCAGGCTGCAGGACTCTGCTCTTCCAGGCCCGCCTGCCCGTGAAGTGGATGGCTCCAGAGAGCATCTTTGACTGCATTTACACAGTGCAGAGCGATGTGTGGTCTTACGGCATCCTTCTCTGGGAGATCTTCTCCCTTGGTAAGAAAGAAATGAGCTTACAAACCTCTTGTTTTCTATGGCTTTACCATTGCCCTAACATCTCAGCAAGAGTTTCCAAAGAAATGTATTCTGGATGATTTACTCTAACTCAGAACTCCCCGAAAACAAGTAGCAGAGGCTCAGGCGATGCTCCGGGCTGCTCCTAGCCACTCTATAAGGCTGGAGTGTTACAGGCTCTGACCTGTGAGTCACCTTTGCTCCTGTCACTGTCACAGGTAAAAGTCCATACCCTGGCATGGTGGTGAACAGCAAGTTCTACAGCATGGTGAAGCAGGGATACCAGATGGCCAGGCCTGACTTTGCTCCCTTGGAAATGTGAGTGGATATGATGAAGTGACACTAGGGGTGACAGGGTCGCTGGAGCTGCTTCCTGGGGGGCAGGAAGGTGGCACTGGGACCTTGGTGCAGGAGTGTATGCCCTTGAGCTTCAGGTTGGATCCTACTGGCTGCTCCTTGCTTCTGTAGGAAAGCAGGACCTGGGGCAGTCAGTGAGGATTCTGTATCCACTATCTCCTGCCTATGGACAGGAAGATGGGAGCGCTTATATGTTATATTTCTGGCCTTGGTGGGTTTTCCTCCTTTTAAAGTCAGCTAGTTTTGACTCTAGGACTGTAAGACAAGTCTGAGTAGGTTACAGGAAGGTAATGAGTTTAACCTTAAAGTACTGAAGGCATAAAGCTCCTTATTGATAGATTAGTTTATCCACTTCCATACTCACCTTTACCTGGAGCACTGCACATGCGCTGACCCTGGGTTTTATAGTCAGGGGACTGCTCAGTACTGCCTGCCTGAGAGTATGGCACAAGGAAGCACAGATCCTGCAGCACCACAGTGCAGCCATCCTGTCCCTGTTTGGCTCTGCAGGTACACCATCATGCAGGCATGTTGGAGCCTGGAGCCCACAGCAAGACCTACCTTCGACCAGATCGGCTGCTTCATCCAGAAAGAACTGGAGGTGCATAAGGAGCAGGTGAGGACTTCTGAAGAGAATGTGGGAGATGTGCTTTCCCCCTACATGAACTTAGCTCCTGGACAACTCCCCGGCTGCTGGTCCTTGCCTTTAACTGACAGGAGCAGTTTAGTCCTGGTGGGCAGTGCAGAAAGGCATCCAGATTTCCCTGTGCTCAAGGGTTAAGCCACTCCCCACCATGACCAAAGGAGGCTGGACAAAGAAATACAGCTGCTTTGCAGCAACCTCTATGGGCAGCAATAGGGGTAGTGATACTACTGGCAGCACAGCAGCCCTGCCCCATCCCATTCCCCTGGATTGGACAAAAGGCACACTCCTTTACCACTAGCCCTCCTGCAGCTCCACAAACGCATGGGCTAGCCATGCCTTGTGGGCACAAAGGGCAGCACTGACTGAGCATCCAGCCCTAGCTGGTCATCCTCTCATGTCCTACACCACTGAAGGGACTGAAACACACTTGGGGTGGGTTGTCTTTTCTTGATTTCAAGGACTACACCAACCTCCCTTCCACCACTGAGGAAGACAGTGGCTGTGATACCTCTGGCTGCTGCGAGGAGTCCTGCGAGCAAGAGGATAGCGGGCAGCCCCTTCTCAAGGGCAACAACTACCAGTTCTGTTAGCTGGTACCATTGCCCCAGGTGGATCCCATCCTCCTGGATCTGCAGAGTGCATGGTGCTGCCCTGCCTTAGGACAAAGATGCCTTCAGCTTTGGCTCTCCTTCTTCTGAAGTATGAGTGTTACTGACTCCCTCACTGAAATGACAGCGCTAGAGTGACTCAAAACCAAGACTCACCGTGGGGTCCCTGAGGCCTTACCTGAAGTGTAGCATAGGTTGTGAGGATGGGAAAATGCTCCATCTCTACAAGGTACAGAGAGGTCCCTGGCACCTGCCTCCCCATCCCCAGTGGGGCTGTGAGTATTTTGGGTTTGGAGGGTTTTTCAAATACTAGTTGCAGCCAAGTAAGTCATTCCCACACCTGAACCCTTGTGTTTTGTGAGCACATCTTGAAGCAGGAACTACTTCACACAGCAGAAGCAGTCCTCTTTCTTGGTGGTCCTGCTCTCTTCCCTTTGCCAGTTTGACCCTGGATGGTGCAGAGTGAGTGTTTAGATATAGGTAAAGCCTCTAAGCATTAAATACGCATTAACCTCTACATTTCCTCACCCAATCATCTACCTCTACACAGCTGATGCTTTGGCATGGAGTGTTTGGGTGAAGCGAGCCAAGGAGCCAGCCCCATGGTTATGTGAACCTGGGGACGAAGGGCAGTTATTTCTCAGGTAAAACACAAACATAACTGGTGTGCTTCCATGTCGGCACTGAACACATCCCAAATCCAGGAAAGAATGGCAGCTTAAACAGATCTGGAAATGATCAACATAACACACATCCTACAAACCTTCTGCATTATTAAACATGTAGCAATCACTGCCTTTGTCCCAAATACAGATATGCTCTTGTACATATTTTCCTGAGCGTATTTTTAATAGAAGAGCTGAGATAGAGAATAGTTTTTCATAAGCTAGGGCCTGATGCCCTTAAACTTATTTCTCATTGAGCTCTTGTTCGGGGCTACTAGTGCCAGTAAGGAAGTAGCTAACGAATCTTCTCAACTTCACCTGGCTCTGTACACCAGGTACAGGCACTGACAGGACTCAGGCAAACTACAGTGGGACATGACTATCACAGGTGGCCTTGGTCACACCCTGAGCAGTTAGCTTGTGGGCCACTTCTGATTATAGTAACCCTGGGTTTATGCTAACACTGAGTGATTCTTTCCTCCTTACTAAACACAAAGCTAATTTATATCTGTCAGCATTATAAAAAAAAGAAATGTTTAGCAAAATGAGTCTCTTCTAGAGCTTTAAAAGAACTGCTCTTAAAGAGGAATGGATCAGAGCACAGGTCTGCAACTCTGCTCCAACTCCTCACACACATCTTTCCCATTACAAGTTCTCAAAACCCTTCAATCTTGTGTAATGCAAAAACTTATTAAAACCAAGATTTTAAAACACTTGCTCTGAGTGGCCTGTCTGTAACGAAGGAAAACTGTAGTCCCCATGAATGGATATAATGGAGGAGTAATTTGAATTGTGATGATGGGACATCTAATAGTCACTGCATTTGAGATGAGCACATGGCAGCCACCAAGGGCAGGGGAGAGGCAGAACAGCCCTAGTGAGCAGAGACTCGGGGTTACTGCAGCAGAACCTCCTATAGCAATTGTTTAGATGCAGCAGGAGCTCCTACCCAGGCTATTAAACAATCCTGAAGAGAAATTACTGTCATGTGCTGCAGACCTCTGAAAGTCACCTCAGGAGCTGCCCTGGGAAAGGCAGAACAAGAACAGGGGAGTTGACCATCTGCAAAAGAGCTTATAAGAACTGTACCTCAGCTCTATTTAGCAGGATAATTTTACCTGACACTTTGGTGAAGTGGCCCAAGCCATGTCTCAAGCTGCTCCTCTCAGAACACCAGGCTCTTCCTCACCACCGTGGCAGTGCTGAGCAGAGTCATGATGTATGTGCACCCAGTGTTTGTGCCCTTTCACACTGCAGCTCTCCAGGTCTTGTACACAAAAAACCAAGTTACTCAGCCACAGTTTCACCCCCAAAATTGGAGATAATTTATTAAATTGTATCACTGACTGAAAAAGTCACTAATGTCTCTTAATAATAAGTTAATGTTCTTAACAGAAAACCCCCAAGCCATATACTGCATTTGCTCAGACTTAATACATTAACAGTATGGTACTCAATAGGTTCCCCTTCACAGAAGGGAGTTTTCAACCACACCACAAGCCTCTGAATCTTCCCCACTACTCACTCCGGCAAAATAAACTCCTGGATGGCAACTTCAGCAGTCCAGCATTCCACTTCTCTTTTGTGTGGGTCACAGCACCTACCCACCCACCTTCACCTTCATCACCAGCAACAGCAAAAGGGAGAGGGCAGCAAAAAATGCATGTAACTTTACAGCTGCAGCCCAAGGTGTTCTCCAGGCATGCTGCAGAGGCAGAGGTCTCAGCCTGACTCTTCTCAAGGAGCTGATAAAGCAACCTGGGCAGCAGGAGGCTGCTCTAACCCCCACAGCACTGTGTGGACAGGGGCAGGAACGTGACACCTAATAGACCACTAAGACTGCCTGTGCGGATGCAGCTCTGCTAGTGTTTCCCCTGAGGGTGGAAGACAGAACTCTGCTTGCCCTGCTCACACTGCATTCGTCCTTCCTCCTTGGCTCCACAGACATGTTTTGTGGTTCTGTTCTAAGGGCATGACAACAGAAAGGCAAGTCCTTGAACAGAATGAAACCACTGAAGAAAGCTGTCCAGGACAACAGCACAGAAATTGAGTGTCCTCCTTTCCACAGCCACCTCCTCACATCATGCTCATACTGCCCACCACCGAGCTTGGCTCCCCTGGGGCTCACCCAGTTAATTCTGACTTTAACATACAGAAGACTCTTCACTGACTGTATGTTTCAGCTTCTACATTACTAGTGTTTATCAAAAGGACAAACAATTCTAGCAACTTTCTGCAGCTGAAGCACTCATAACCCTGGACCCAGGATTGCTGCCCAGATACAGCCGGTTAAAGCTGCGTGGCTCCTCCTCAACTAAAAACTCCTTGCAACCAATGCCTACAAGACCTCTGCAAGATTTCCAAGCAGGAGTCAGTGTCCTAAATTAATCTATTTGGACCATTTTGGAGGAAATCTTTGCTGTCTGCCACTCATGCTGCTCCCACACCCCCAGCCTGCCACCAATATGCACAAAGAAGTCAGCAAGCAAGATTCAGAATTAAAATCCCTGTGTGCTTGATACTCCCTGCTCCCAGGAAGGCCTCTGCCCTCTCCACTTGCCTGCTGCAGGAAGGGTGATGTTTTGCACAGTGGGTCCATCACACACCTCAGGAGGCAGCTCCAGCCTTCGTCAAGGGGGTGATGAACCTGTGCTCACAGCAGCTATCATGACACTATGGAAGCACACAGCTCTTTGGTCATTAACAGCAGTCAAAGCCACCAGCATCACATCTCCAACCTGTAAAAAGTAAACCCAAGCCAGACAGCTTGCAGAAGCTGACCAAGCCCACCCATCCACACGACCAGAGAGAGACACCAGCAGGCTGGTTTGTTACTCAGCAACCTCTATCATCCTCCTGCTTCCCCTCCTCATCCTCTTCCGTTGCTGTTTTAATCTGGGCCACCCCGAGCCGGTACAGAGCATCGCGAATCACCACCTCCCCAGGCTGGCAGCTCTGCACGATCTCCTGGATCTGCCGATTGACAATTTCCCTGCTGGTGAGGAAGTCCATGAGGCGGTTGTAGAGGTAATAGTGTGTGGCATTCTCGAAGGTGATGGGCTTTTGGCGGATATTGCTGGTTTTGCTGTCGTTGATAGCAGCGATGATAGCGCTGTATGGCTCCAGTTCACGGCACAGGGACATGCAGTGGTGCTGAGCCGTTGGGTCTCGGGAGCTGTTCTGCTCCAAACCCGTGTGAACAATTCGGCGTGCTGCTGACTTGGTGATCGGGTGCTGCAGAGAGTGCTCAGCCACAGTCATGTCCACACTGTAGTGCTGGTCGAGCAGTTCAGGGCAGGACACGTACTGCAAGAGAGACATGTACCAGGTAGAACAAAAAGCAATTTCCCGCAGCTGAGAAGAACAAGACAAAGCTAGCACTTGGTGGAACTCCAAACAGCACTATGACCGACGACAGAGGGAGGGCCAACTGACTCAGGCTTCCACTAAACACCATAAAGGTGGTCCTGTATGCACCCCACCTCACTCATATGCCCTCAGAGATAACCCCAAGGCATTAGGAACCCTCTTCTTCTCCCATTTTTCTAGCAACAGCAGTAGCTTGAGAGAAAGGAGTGTTTGTGTCAAAGTGACATACTCAAAATTTCAGGATTTGAACTGCTCTTCCTATTAAGAGACATGAACTTAATGTAACACCCCAACCGACAGATAACACTTTCCACTGTGCTCAGAAGCTGTGAGCTGGCAAAGCTGAGAGTCAGGAGACACTGATCAGGCCAAATTATCTTGAGGCACAACACGTTACACATACTTTTTTAAAGTTACTTAAATCTCACTTGAAACTTTTCCATATGGGATTGGCACAGCAGAGTGCAAAGTGAACATTACTAACCGTTGGAGGATCCATGGGGTCAGAGAAGCAGCCCTGGTTCTTCCCCCACATCTGGGAAGTCAGGCTGGAACAGCAGACATCTGCACACAGTGCCACTGAGGACGCTGTATCAACAACATACACTGGAGGCCAGTGACGTGAGGAAACCAACAAGTCCACGTGATCCCGGGCATTTTCTCCTCTTACAATATACTTGGAGCCACACACAACCTGGAAAGAAAAGGATTAACACCAAACAACACACTAAAACTGAAAACTTATGGGAAAAATATAGCCTTAAAATATGCAGCTTCCTTTCAGGTATTCCAGAAAATACAGTAACTAGCCCGTTACTGTCTCTGAATATATTCTGTTTCCTCCTCATACACATTCAACTTTATCTTGTTCAAGAAGAGGTAATTTTCAGCTACACATCAGGAGCAACATCAAAACCAGGCTTCAGATCACTAGCTGATATTAAAATCCCTCCAGGACTGGTCATACTCTGAGCCCCAAGGCAGTGTGTTTCATTCCAGAGGCACCGACTCCATTGCTTCTATTTAATGAGGGAGTTCCACACTGGTAAGTCAGGTAACACTGAATATAGCAAAGCAAGAAAAAACATTGCAACTCCAGCCCTCCTTACCTGATGTGGACACACTTTGTAGATTTTCCCTCCTGTGTGATGAGCAGAGGGTTGTGCAATACTTGTCCCATTCTGTACAAACTCATAGAGAGCCAGGAGGGAGTAGCAGAGCTGGGCCTAGAAAAGACAGGCCCCAGAAAAAGTCTGGATGTGGTTAAAATTAATGGACTCCTCCAGGGGTAGAAGCCTGCAGGCAAGGTTTCCCAAATCCTGATCTGCACTTCATCCAATAACTTCCTAGTCCCACACTCAGCACTGTGAGGATGACAAGCAATTGCACTATGCTGAGCCTGTGACAAGGTAATTACAGGCTTCCTTTCTTCTAGCTCACAAAGGTTCAATTTATTTTACCATGTGTAAATTATCCTATAATGTGTAGGCATTCACTTCTAACCCACCCCTGCCCTCAGTGCAGTCAGATGAGAAGTTAATTAACTAGGATGGCAAGTGTGAATGAGGGAAAGAGTGAAGAAAAGCTCCACTCCTGTGGAGCGTGTGGGCAAACAAGCCATTACCTTTGTATCTGAAGGCTCCCAGGGGATGCTGCACTGTGTCAGAAAGCTCTGCAGCTCTTCTTCACTATAAGAACTTAACAGCTCAAGCCTGAGGATTTCTTCCTGAAGGAGCCTCACCAAGGCACTCCCATTACCTGCAAAGGCAGGAAACAAGTCTCAGCATTCATTCTCAGGAAGGAAAGTCACCCAAATAATTTATTCCAAAGACTACAGAAGCAGAGACTGCACAACCAACTGCCAGCAAGAGAAACCCATGAATAGCTTGAAGTGTGTCACAGCCCACACTTCTCTCGAACCCTCCGTTAATGAGGTCACCAGACTGAGCTCAGCAGAGCTGCAGACTCCAGGAGCACTTCTCTATCCTGTCGTTTGTAATCTTTAAATTACTGCTGGACTGACACAAGGATAAACAAGTGACTGGAGAGTGCAGAGAAATGTGACTGCAGCCTTCACGCTGAGCAGCTCTATGCTTACCCTTCACATCTCCCTGGTTCTTCCTCTGGAGCTCCATTTCCAGGAAAGCCCATGTAACCCTTCTGCAGCTCTAGAACAGCTGCAGCCCTATCTGCAAAGCCAACTCATACACTTGTTAAGGTTGCAAAGCCAGCTTTCCTTCTTATACCTAATGCCTAAACTGTTAAGGGAACTGGGTGCTAACTAAATTCAGCTCTCATACATCTGAGATTATTCATCTCATGGTTTCTTGTTACTTGCCGTCAATGACCTGCATATACTCAACATTGACAACACTGATCAGGACTACCACACCCACCTCCTAGACTCTTTTAAGTTCTGTAAAAACTTATTCACCCTTTACTGAAATAGTGATATTGAGCTGCACTGCCTGCAGCTGTCACAGTCCAAGTATCAGTCTAACAGGAAACAAACACTGACTGGCATTGAAGTTGTGCATGCATCCCTCTGCAATCAGACTATATCATCTGAGGTGCAGCCTCAGATGCATCAGAGGACACCAATGTATTCAAGCTTTCCTGGGCAGGCCAAAGCTCAAGCTTACTCACACCAGCATTCTTGCCTTCTCTCAGCAGACATAATTGCAATCAATAATTCTCAACTCTAAAGATCACCAAAAGCCACCACCACATAAAGCACTCCCTTAATAAGCACAACCTCAGCAGTTACCTGGCATTGGCTGTGCATCCAGGTTCTTGTCCTTCTCAGTATTGATCACCACTGCTCCTCTCATCAGTGGAGGGAAGAAAGGAGCAACAATAGAAGCATCAAACTTTGTGATGGGGATGCTAGAAGGAAAAGCCACCTGCTCAATCACCTCTGTCTCCATCGTGGACCAGAAGTCTTCTACATTCACTTCACTTGATGGCAGGAATTCCGGCCAAGTAAACTAGAAAGAGCAAGAAATACACTATTCAAATACAAATAGCCTTAGCTCAACTGACAGTTTTGAGTGAGACAGCTTCACTGAAGGCATAAGGACTCCGCAGGAGAGCTCTCAAGCCAAATACAACATGATGGCTTCAGACTCCTAGAGTTCCCCACCATCACTTTTCCTTGGGTGAGAGTCAAAACCATTTATTTGACATCAAAGCCAGACATGCTGCATAGGGTAAGTGGGGCTTTTCTCCCCACTAGAGAGGACAACACCTCAAGGAAACTGCTGTTGGAGAAAAAAACAGAATGCTTTCATGTCACAGGAAGAAGACCAAGTTCAGCAGCTTTCATCCAAGGTCCCTTACTCTGAGAGGCTACTGGACAAAAGCTGTGGTCCAGAGACAAAGGATCTTGTTTTCCCCAAACCATACATCAACCCCTCTAAGAGGAAGTGCAGGCATCACCACTCCAGCCACATCCTCTTACTAGGCATCAGCAAAAAACTGCTCACAAATGTATAATGTAATTATTGTGCATTAGAAAGACCAGAGTCAGCAAAAATCATTACAATCTGCTTTGAACACAAACAGGATCTGAAGGTTGTGAGAAGCCCACCTCTATGTTTTTCAGTGCCAGGACATTTTCCACATTCCTCTGGGCTATTTCCACCTTGGGGGTTATGCCACAGATTCCACAGATCATATCATTGTAATCCCGGACTGTCAGGCATTCAAAGGCCCAGTAGCCATTGCACAGCAGTTCCTGGAGCTGAACCTGCTCATCAGGGCTCAGACTTTTTTCTGAAAAGAGAACATGCCACTATTAGAGCTTTCACTTCCTAAAGTCAGTGGAGAGGTGCTAGAACTCTCCTATGCAGAGTTAAAAACAAAGCTGCTCTCCAGAGAGCTGTTACAAAGAACTGGTCATCAAGATGTTGTTTGGTTTAGGAAGTGATTTAACAGAAACATACTACACCAGAATTTGCCTTTCTGTAACCTAACAATCATCAGGAGGTCAGTTTGGTTTGTTACAGTAAAAAAAAAAACAAATAAAAACCACAAAAAACCAAGAAGGAAAACCCACCAGTTTGCTCCTGAACAGAGTCAAGGATATTGCCAACAGCCACCCTGGGATCCTCTCCAAGTTTAATGTGGTTTCGGATTGCAAACAGAAGATCCAAGCTCACTAACAACTTGTTACCCACATTGAAAAGGCCTGCAGTTAAAACACAAAACACTTATTGTCCATAGAGTTCCAGATCTTCCTCACAAAGAAATATATTCCTTACTGATATGTAACATACAAACATGGTTCAGAGGATAATGGAATCATGTGGATAGTGCTTCTGGGACTGCTCCCTCTACAGATTAGCTCATCTCAGACTTCATGCATTTAAATTTAAATGCTTTTAAATTTAAAAAGCTACAAGGAACAGCAGCAAATCCATCTCCTCAGCTCCACACTGCATTGCAGGAGGCCCACACTGACTGCCACTCGAGCCTCACCAGCCAACACTGAGAAACAGCTCCCTGCAGAGATGTTTTTGACTCATCTCAGGGGTTGTCTTGCAGAACACATTTACCACTCACACAGCAAAGCAAGGCACAGTCTTCCTCAAAGCATTCATACGTGCTTTCCCTCAGAAATACAGATTTACTTGCAGAAGAATAGTGCAAGTCAAAAATAATTCAAGCTGAATACACTGGGAAAGGGAAAATGCTTTTCTGTAAGTTGGTACGCTGACATTTTTCCTACCTGTGTAAATATCAGTGAAGCTATGGAGAGCCAGACACTGCAGGTTCAAGCACACTTTGACTTGAGCTGTAACCACCTGTAATCTATTCGCTGTCAGCAGCCAGCACTCCTGAGGACCAGCAAGGGAACTGTAACAGACAAAAGGCAACTAAAAGTCAAGCCAAAAGGGGTTTTAGTCCAGTCCTGCAGTAACTTTGGACATTCTAGATGAGATGAGTTCATTAGTAAGTCAGTCTAAGCCAGTTCACATCATTTCACACCAGAAAAAGAAATAATTACATTAAAATGATCCCCCTGGCAGAGTCAGGTCACTGCTCACATTCCTTTAACAGCACTAAAACATCTCTCCAGCTCCATACATCAGGCACATAGTATTGGAGAGTTGGGAGAAAATCTACATCCCCAGCTGCCCTAGAAGTGTCAGCCCTATTGCTGTGGTACAACAAGTGGTGGTTAGTAACACATTCTCCCTGCTAGCCTGTCCCTGCACAGAGATTCAGAAAGGTTGCTCCTCTGCAGTACAGCTGCTGAGGAGGAAGTTCAGATAGAAAAATGCCAGTTTTGCCCTAATGCCAGAAATACAGCTGAGAAACCAGGAATCAAAGTGAAGGCTAGCTCCCTCCCACTGGCAGGGGTTTAATTAGAGGCTACACAGACACATATGAGAGTCCAACTGCAAAGCAGCCCAGCATGGAAGCAAGGATTTACAAAGCACAGGTTAGGAAGTCACGAGGTGAGGGACAAGGGGCAGGATAGCACTGTTCTGCAAAAATTACTGTGTATAAAAAGTACCTCTCCTGGAAAAAGAATCTCAGTTAGTACTAACCTGACCAAAGGGAAAACACACAACTGGTTATAAAGAAAATCTTTTTCATTGAAGAAGGAAACACAACAGTAAACTACCCAACATTTTGCTGTGGGAAACATTTCAGCTCATGCTTTTGACAACAAAAGGATGTTTGGCAAACTCGGTAAGGAGATATCCTATAGGCTTTCATAGAAACCTGCTTAAGGTAATCCAGCCTACCTACTGGTAGCTTCTGAAAGTATTTCAGGTTTCAATTTGGATATCTGTTCAAAAAAAGGATTCACTCAAGCCCATGCTAAGCCATGAAAAGAATGAAAACATAAGCAAAAAGATCACACAGGAAATATTCAGATCAGGAAGAGAGAGAAAAGAGAAATCACATAATGCATATCCCACAAGTTTGCATCTGTCAGGCTCAAAACAGAGTGGAAAACAAAAAAGGGATGACTAATGAAAAGACTTTGTTTCAAGATAGAAAAAAATAGATCTAGACTTAGCAGTCACTTTTGATCAAGCTCTCCCATTGTATAGAAATGGCAACTATGACAAATTATACTGCACAGGAGAAAGCAGCTAAACCCTTTCCACACGCATCTAGCTTAGTGCCACTTATATATGCTTCAGTACCAGGGCTACAGCAAATACTATTTCAGGCACGCTTTAACAGAGTATCAGCACAAGGTTGAAAGAGTCACAAGTCTAAAACAGAATCTTACTTCTCTCCCCCTTTGAACAGTGGGCTGTTACAGAGGAGGCACTGCGCAGATGGAGACTCATAGTAGTTTGACCAGGAGGTCTGCTCTATGGTGACTGTCTCCTCACTCACGTTGGACAGGATGAGCCGTGAGCTGTTGAGTTCCTGGATGAGCGTGAAGACCTCTGCCAGCTCTGATTCATTCTCTGGGATCTGCATTACCTTGCGCAGCAACTGCAAGGTGGACTGACGCTGGATCTCTTTCTGGGAGGGGGTTAAGGGTTCACTGGTGTTCAGCACATCAGACTGACATGGACTCACCTCCTAAAAAGCAAGCGAAACATATTCAACTAGGCAGGCACGGGATGAAATGTTAAGAAGCCCAGAGAAGTCGAAAAAGGTAGGAGAAACACAGTAATCTTTGCACCCAGCAGACTCGACTTAATTACAGAGCTCAGTCTTTCAGGAACTCCTATAATACTGCTAAAACCACCAGATTTGTCATTAAACTGGAGCATTTGGATTAAGGATCAAGAGGGTGAGGACAACCATGTGACAGGAATGTTAAACACATCTAGAACCAGAAAATAAGAAAACAAACTAAATGAGGAAGAGAGGAGGCACATGCCTCTCAAAATGCAAGCTGAGCTAAGGGCACTGCTGTTCCTGACACAGCTGCTTACACTTGAGTTTCACACAGGCCATTTCAGTTTATTTACTTAAAAAACATTACACAGCCATGTTCTTCAAAATAAAAAAGACAAGTGGAAGAGTCATATTACCACAGAGACTAAAATGTAGCCTGTCTGTGCTGAGTGGGCATTTCAGCTAAGAACAGGACACCTCCTTTTTCTCATCTTCTTTTTTTTTAAAGCAATTCTGTATGAGAAAAACTGAAACTTTGAATGCAAAAAATCCCCAAACAAACCAACCCCAGAATTTATGATTTATATCCATGTAGAATAGCAGACAGATGAAAACCACCTTTCTACAACAAGAAACAAATACTACACCCTGAAATAAATTTAGGCTGGAAGTTGCACTACAAGCCCTTAAAAATAGGAAACTCTAATAGAAGATGTACTAACTTAACTGACATTAGCCACAAACTGGTCACGAACAGAGCATACTTGGGAGTTTCTTGATGAAGTTCAGCAAAGCTGACACAACAAACGTGACTTTAGGGGTGATTTCCCCAGCACGTACTGACATGTTATAAGCATTTTTAAGCTACGGAGACATCCAGTGGTAGAACTGAGTGCTCTCAGGCTCATTCTCAGCCTGAAACACCAATACTGCAGGAGTTGGACAGTAACATCAGGAGTGTTTCCAATAGGACATTATTGTTACAAAAGCTTACAATAATGAAAAAAAACAGTAAGATGTTCCCATGGGCACTAGCAAACTAAAGTACTTCCCTGCCCACCCCACGGCAGCCTTTTGAAAATACAAGTTATTCTGAACCTTACCAGGGATTTTGCTGTTTTCTCAGCTCTGTCTTTGGCAAGGTTGTATCCACAGCTTGGACAGATGCGTGGCTTGTGCCTGTTTGTATACACATAACTACAAGAGGGGTTCTTGCATTTCCCTCTGCCACGTGATGTTGCCAATCCCAAATCCTGAATGACACAAAAAAAGCATTTACTGAACTTGACTTTTAGCCATCTTAGACTTTTAACAGTTGGACTTGATGATCTCAAAGGTCCTTTCCAACCTAAATCTTGTGATTCTAAGCCAACAAAGTTCTAGAAAAGTCTGCTTGAATATCACTTTTCCCCCCACTTTACAATGCCCCGTTTAAAGGTCAAACAGGCCCTGTCACTTTGCACAGAATACTTCTAACTGGCATTCAAACATTCTGCGGCCAGTTCCAGAGCCCATAAGCACTCACACACTGAGTTCATTCAGAAAGCACTGATCCTCCCTGCTGAACTCAAGGAGGGGTGGGGATTACACTAGGACATGAAGGAAAATCTAGTACTTAACAGGACTGAACAGTATACAGTCACCCTGGATTAGATCAACAGATGATAGAGTACAGATTGTCTCACATTAAATAGGAGAGACATTTCTGCAAGTCAGTAAAGTCACAGAACAGCCTATCCCAGAGATGACATTCCCTGCAGCACAAGTCAGACTATCTGAAAAATGCTCACCAAAGTTACAGTGCAGCTGTACTTGTAGGAAGGGAATATATCTGGTTTGACCTCCACTACTTCAACCTGAGATGCCCTGCTGGTCAAAGCACTGTGGGGCTAGAGATTGAAAGCAGAAAAAAAAACAAACACCCATGAGATCCCTACTTCTGAATACATATATCCTGTAAGCAATACCTATTAGCATTTTTCCCTTCACAATAAATCAATTAATGTTCATTTAATATCAGAGGACTACAACACACTGTTTTGCATACTAAGGCATTACAATTCACACAGAAGTATTCCAGTATCTTGGCATACTCTGTCATATTTCACAGGTGAAAGACTCTACACTCAGTATTGCATGTCAGATTATCAAAGCACTAGCAGATCCTCAAAACATCTTCTGGAAGTAACTGGGAGTTTCTCAATGCAGTCAACAGAAGGAGTGACCAACAGCATTTCTCAGTTCACTTCTACATGCAGCCATGTCACACTGATGCTGCTTTTGAGCTGTATCATAAAAGCTGTCAGTCACAGATCTTATCATAAGACTGCTACATTTTTATATTCTATTTCTCATCACTCAGGTCATATCATCTGTGAAAAGAAAACCAACAAAACACACAGAAACAAACAGGAAAATAATATGCATTTGAAGAATAAAGTATAGGTACCTTTCGCTCCTCGGCACTTGGTGGCTGCAGAATTGACTGGCCCAATTGTTTCAGTGTACTGGGCTTCAAGCCTGATGTTCTCACAGGGGAATGCTTGTCTTGAAAGAGAAAAGGGATGCAGCAGGTTAGATATGAGAAAATAGGACCTGTTTCATTCAACATCTTTGCTAAATGCCATCACAGTCATGTGAGATTTTTTCCTCTGAACTTGGAATGACCCAAGCAGGTGTTTCATGGCCCATTTACTGCACACTCAGAGAGTGCTTTTCTCTAGCATAGGTCACTATCTCCCTTAAGGCTTATCTTATTATGTGAGAGAGAGCACCTCAATATGGTGAAGACAGACAATTGCTCCCAAAGCATTCCAGAGAATACAGCTCTTACCAGCATTCCCAAAAGCCTGTCTGTTGCTCGACTGTTCAGTGCTGGCTTCTCTCCCCACGCTGGCTGGTGCAGGCAGAATGGCTCGCATGGGTCTTGCTGCAGCCAGCAAGGAGGGCTTCGGTCTTGGTTTACTCTTTACTTCTTGTCCTTTGTGTGTAGGAGTTGGAGCATCAATTCTGAAAAAGGAGAGCTACAATTGGTAAAAAATTCCATTGATTCCCCCTCAACCTCAATTTTCTTCTCTTTCTTGAGCTGTGCTTTATTAGCACAATAATCACAGCTATTGTGAAAGGAGAAGCAGCACCAAGGATACATCTGCCCTGTGACCACAGTTTGTCATTTAAAAAACATCAGCCCTGATAAACAAACTCACAAAGGAACAATCCAGAACTAGCACAAAACAGACAGCAAACAGAAACAGGTCTTACAGGAAGCACTGCCAACGGCTTTCAATTTCCTGGGTTAGTCCCATCAGCACACAAGACATCATATGCACCCATAACACAGAAAACTGACTCACCCCACTGGCTTTTTTGCAGAGGCATTTGGACTTGTCACCTCAGAAGACAGTGGCATCCCCATCCCTACACTATCTTTCTCTGCCTGCTCTGTGGACGACTCTCCTTGCTGTTGACTCTCTTGACTCAGCACCACTCCAGCAGCACTCTGTCCAACTTCAGCAAGCACACTGTTTCCAAGAACATGAGCCTCAGAGACGATCACTTCCTCCCACTCCAGCTCCTGCATTTGCTCTCCAACAGGCACAGCATTCAGCAGCTGGCTGACAGCTTCAGAGCTCTCCAGGGCAGACTTGGAGGTACTTTCACTCACAGCTGCTGGCTCTGTGAATACTGACTGTTGACCTCTTTTAGCTGCTGGAGTTTTAAGAGAGGTGCCTGAATTTGGCTCAGATTTGCTTTTTGGTTGCTTTTCCTGGAAATAGAGATAGTTATATTTCAGAGCTCTACACTTTAACAGATAAGTTCGCTTCACATATGCCAGTTTGCCATGGCTTATTTAATGCTGGATCAAACCAACAGAATCCTAAGTATTTAAGCAGCAAGTTGTACAAGAGCAGAAAGACATCATCTCCTACGAAAGCAAGTCCCTGTTAACATTTTACCTAGCCTCCTGGCCCTCCATGTATTATTTTTAGACACTGTTTATTGTGAAGTATCAGTCTTTCTTAAACTCCCTCAAATACCATCATTAGCACCAACATCACAAACTCACCCACCACCCTCTGTAACAAGGGCCCACCTCCTACGCTCCCCTTTCAAAGCTTCAGCTCTGATGCTGTCCTTTCACAAGACTGAGAAACCAGAGGGAGACAGAGAACGCCTATCTTTTCATATATCTATTGATATATGAAAACCATACATTTGAGCAAGTCATGAAACAGAATTACTTTAGGAAGGTTTTTTGGCTTTAAGAAAAATGTTACCTTCAAGGCTAAGGTTACAGAACCCATGTACTGGGGCCAAGAAAGGTTTGATGTAACACTGAATTGGTATGCAAAAAGACACCAGGAATAGAACCAAGAGCTTCTGGCATGATAAACACATTAATTCTAAGCTCTCTACAGAGTTCATACTCAGAAGGATAATCCAGGTGCTTAAAAACAGACATAGAATCAATCTTAGAATGGTTTGTTTGGAGGAGACCTTAAAGATCATCTAGTTCCAACACCTTCCACTAGACCAGACTACTCAAAGCCCCAGTCCAATCTGCCCTTGACATCTTATAACCTATGCCCTTTCCTAAGGAACAGAAGGGTATGTGCATATTCAGTTTCAGTCCTACTGATGTTATTGCTAGTTAAAAAGTCTGCTGGTGCATGTTTTTCCCAGGCATGATACCATAGGAAAAAAGTTGAACTGTTTATGCAAATGTGTACCCAGAAGAGTAGAATGAAACTGAAAGCAGGAAAACTCCTCTAAAAGTTTTCAGCTCTAATCAATGCATGATTTAACAGGAGCAGGCATGCCATATTTAGCCAGAAACACATTTTTGCCGTTAGTCACCTACTTCAGCAGGTTTACAGAACAAAAGCTAAGACTCCATCGTCACTATTCATGCCCTACCACACAGGAAGTCCAGCCATCAGATCAGACACTACAGAGTTTGTAAGCTGCCTAAAAAAGTTCTTGCCCCTAAATGTTTAATGGACCTGGAAATGAAACAAAGAAGCTTCAGAACAAATCCATAAAAAGTCACCGAATGTCAGTGTAAATGTCACACTGACTATCCTTGAACTTGTGCTTGAGCAGCCTTGTTTCAGACAGAGATTTAAGGAAGAACATACATCTATTCAGAGCTGGCCAGTTACCATGACATTGCCAAAGTTTCTGAAGGAAGTTGTTTTTGCTGTATACAGCTAGTAAAGATGGCAACAACTTGGGCAGAGTAGGTATCATGTGGAGGAAGACTTTTCCACTCAAACTTCACAACTCCACCAACACCTGGTGATTTCCTTCCAGCCAAAGGTCAGAACATCATGAATGATCAGACATGTGGCCATGAGTCAACAATACCCAAAGGCACTTCAGCTTTCACTAGATCAACTTTATTAGCTGGCTCCCAAAGGATCATATACCTACTACAGTTGAGAACTGTTCCTCCCGTCTGTTGAAAAAAATGCTGAAAGACCACAGAAAACCTCAGTTTGTAGAAGAATTTCAAATATAGAGAAATTACCAAAAAAAAAATGGCTTAACCAATTTCCTGAGCTTAGCTAGGGCTGCAGCAGGAAGAACAGGCAATGTCTTCCAGTCACAGGAACTACAGAACACAAGGACACGGATTGCTTCTGGCATTATCTGACTTCCTGCACTAGATCTATACATCTAGAAATACCAGACATTCACAAAGACAGTACTTTTGTCTAAAAAACAGGGAAGGCAAATTTACCTTTGGGATCCATTTTCCTCCCAGGAAGTTCCCACATAATGGGCATTTTGGTGGCTTATGCCTGGTAACATAAGTGAAGGAACACCCAGGATTGGTGCAATTTCCATGTCCCCTTCGAGTATAGGTGGTTGTCTGAAACGAGAGTTGTCAAGAATTTCTCTACAGAGCTGAAAAAACCACAGAGCTGAGGTCATCAGTCCCTTTTTCCTCATAAGCACTTTACAAAGTGTTATTCAGCAAATCACCAGCACTCCACTATTATTCCTTTCACTGATCAACCACCACACAGCTGGATCAGAGTGAGTCAGCACCGTAACTACTCTGAATGTAAATGCTCAGTCTATGCAAGTCTTCACTGTTACCAGAATTAAGTTCAAATTGCAGAGCAGAGATGAACAATGTGTATAAACTACCATAAGAAGACGCTAACCTTGTGTTTACAGTGATGTAACAGTTCTGAGCAAACCATAGTAAGAGAATAAGAAAATGGTTTGAACAGCAGTCCACATCAAGGCCAGGTGGGATTAATAGACTCATGTCAATGGAGCAACAAGACATGAAGCCAAGCACTCATGATGTAGAGGCAGTTTTCATTGGTGACTTACTCTTGGATGCAGTGGTCAAGCACCTCCCTGGTGCTTTAGTGTAACCTACTGTGAACTACTGTAACACCAGCAGCAGCACCAGGCACTATTTATAAAAGCCAACTAAAGCAGAACCTGTCATCTTTGCCAGGAAAACTGCATCAACACATTTGAGCTTCTGTCAGCACAGCACTTGATATTCTGAACTCAACACTCCCGTGGCAGTTGCTGTGCCATAGGTCCCTAACTAGGTATGGGGTTTCTTGAGAAATGCAAGCGCTGCTGTCAAAGAAATGAGACCTGAGTACTTCTCAGGAACTAACACCTGAGGTATTTCCAGTCTCCCCAAGACACCTGGAAGAATACGACACTATGTGCCACTACAAGTATCTGCAGTTTTCCACCAGCTGGAAGTACAGAGAGCCTGGAAAACAGGATTTGAGGCTAGCTTATACAATACAAGGAGCTGTGCTGACTGTACAATAAATTCCTACAATGCCTACAGAAACACAGGTGGCTGCAGTGGTTAGACTGAAGAGAAATAATGGTATTCTTCCTAATACAACAGGCCACAAAATCTTTTATGCAAGTTCTCAAAACCTTAAGTGACTGTTCTTTGCCTGTCACACGGCCAAAGCAACAGCCATCCAAGAGACTGGAGAGTTCGTGTTTTCCTGTCAAAAGAGTAGATTCTTGCCCTTAAAGGGATGGACATTGGCATTTTATGAAGACAAATACGCATCCAAAGTGGAGGACACAGACCCTGGAAAGGGCAACACAAAGTGCTATTGGCCAGACGTGTTGTGATAGCATTATCTACTGTTTCCAAGAACTCCCTGAGAAAGAAGGCAGCAGAAGGAGACCCTATAAGACACTTCAGAATTCAGAGACCCCCATTAGCACACACAATGCATAAAACCGGACAAAATATAAACTGACACAATGGCTCCATATTGGACCATGATCAAACCCTTCCTACTCTAGTTATGACAAACCTATAGTGACATATCCATACCTTAAAATACCACACAAGACTCTGAATCTCTTACCAATTTAATGGACGCTGGGTTCTCCACAACAGAATGAGCTGGCAAAGGTAACATAATGAACTGTGTAGCTGGTGTGGAGGAGCTGCTCTCTTCAGTATCCTGAAATGAAGTCAAAGGGAAAATAAATCCAGAAAACAAGAGAAATGGTGATCTGTGTTCCACTCTCTCATGAACACTACCATTGAACATGTGTCTTAAGGACTGATGAGAACAGAAAGCAGAAAATAGGAGTGATCATTTCAAAAGCAATGGCCTTAGCAGGTTCACTCTGGAAATTACTAAACTTTTCACAGATTGAAATTGAAATCAGCAAATCCCATTCTTACCAAAATAAAGGTTTCTATAACCTATCCCTAAAACCTCAACTTAAAATGACTCCCTTCTACCTCTCTGCAACCAAAAAATAGCTATCAGGAGCAGAGGTAACATTTTCTCCTCCCTAAAAATCTGTCAAAAAAAACCCAAATCTGTTCAACTATAGAACCTACCCCAAGTCTTTTTACAAGAAAAAACTAAAAAACCTCAAGCAGTCATCTGAAGACAGACATCATATCAGCACACGTTAGAGCCAATCTGCAAGCGGACTCTAATCACAGAGTTACAAAAGGTGCTGTCTCCTTCCCCACTGAGCCTAAGCCTTTTGCAGCTATCAAAAATCTTAAGTAAAATGTGTTAAGCAACATTTGGAGCATTTCAGGTGAGAGTCTGGCAGGAGTCTGAGTCTCGCTATTAAAACTTACCCTCCCAGTCACCACGGTCACCACAGACACACCATCTGACACCTGAGGACGGGCCACAGCAATGTTCCCATTGGACATGTCTGTGGGGTTGTTAACTAGAGTCTCCTCAATAACTACCCGAGCTGTCTGATATGGTTGCCCTTCTATTTCCAAAGAAGCCTCATCCAAGAGGATATCTCCAACCACTTTCTCTGTCACAGGCCCAACATAATGAGAGAGAACCTCCGATGCAACTGCTTCCTCCAGAGCATCTGGCTGGGTGAAGGAAGCAGTGTCTTCTGCCAGCCCTTCAATGGCGAGACACTGCTGAGAAATGCCCACGTGGCTTGAGTCCACAGAAAGGACGTTCTGCACAGCATCACGGGGGACACTGGTGATGTTCGTGGAAGCTCTTAAGCCTTCAGACGCTGCCTGACCCTGTGTGACACACAGTTCCAGAGATTGCCTGCTCCTCTCTTCATGAAGAGTGGTTTTGGGAATAATGATATAGTCTGAGCGAGGAAGAATCTTACGGAAACCTGGAATGTCTGGAACTACTGCAGTTAGAGTGGACACTTTGGAATTCTGTTGGCAAAAACAGAGTACAGAATAAATAAATAAGAGAAAGGGAAGAGATTCAGGTCTCAATCCAGCTATTTTAGAGCCTGAAGTTTAAATCATTTCCTGAAGTAGATTGCTGAGAATTTCCCCCATGACAGAGCCAGCAGAATCCCTTTCAGCCCTGGTTTTACCACCCACTTTACCATCGGTCAGCCTGATGACACAACACAAAAATAACTATCCCCATCAGCACGTATTAGACATATCTGTCATGAATTTAAAGACATTATTCCATACGGAACAGAAAACGAAAGCAAGACACAGGGGCCTCACATACTGCTTCTTTACAGGCTCGCCTAAGCAGAAATACAAACTGGAATCTGCAGTTAAACAATCTTCCAACAAACAGCACTGTGTGAGCAGTTAAGTGCCTCCCTTTATGCAGCAAAGAGCTGTCAGGAAGCAGACTTACCGGGTCCAATCCCTCTTTCTCTAACTTGGCTTTCTCCAAGTAATAGCTTTTTTCAGCCACACTGAGCAACCTCCAGCTCTCACTGATCTTTTTGTTGATTTCAGATTGAGGGAGGTGGGGAAGCTCTTGCTGTACTTTCAAGTAAATATCATAATAGTAGAGGAGGTAAGCAGATCTGAAATTAAATCAGACACCACAATGGTAAGGGCATTCTACATAAATTCTTCTGGCAAAAGAAATCTACAAGTTTTATATTTGTCTCAAGGTCAAATGACAAGTATGTTACATTCAGTTATACGTGTAAATGTGGTTTTTAACCAAATGAAAACTAACATTCTGGGGAGAACCTCTTAAGGAGGGACAAAGAGGCTAAAGCAAATATTCTGGGGTAGACAAACTTTCTATCAATCAATATAGCACCTCTAAAGACAAAAATATCAGAGTAGGCTCAGAGTGTCAAACTAATGTTTTCTATGTGATGTGTTACACTACGAAGTGTCCCAAGCATACAGCAAAGTTCATTCTCATCAGAAACTGTCCCCACAGCACACAGGAGCTGAATGAAGACACAAGGAACTTACCTAGGCTTTTTGGCTTTTTCTCCATGATCACCAGTGCTTTTGTACTTCTTTTTCTTCTTAGATGGCACTGGTGATGATGCATAAGTGTAAGTGCCCTCTATTTCCTCCATTACCACAGTTACTTCAGTGCCATCGTATGGAGCCTCCATTGCTAAAAACATGTATTTTATGTTATGCACTTGCCAAGTTATACCAAATTTCTCAGAACAAAGGCCACTCTTGATCATCTTTGTAAGCTGCCAGCACCAATGGCCTGTGAGTTTGGCTGTTATTAGCTAAGGTAAGTACATGTTAGCTATTATCAATTTTTAGAAGAAACCACTTTTATTACTACAACCTCAATCCCGTCTGTTCAGTGCAGGCACACTGCATCTGCACTCCAAAGCTGCAGTGCCCCAGGAACCTCGCAGTTAAGTTTGGCAATCCAGAAGGAGCCTCACGCCCAGGAAGCAGGTGTCCAGCTACAAGGTACCACGGCCATGTTCCCAAAAAGTGAGGCCAGAGCCTGAATAAGCACGGAAGCCTCTCAAGCCACCAGATCTCTAAAGCTCCTGGCTTCACACCGATGATGGCCGCAGCCTTCGGGGTGCTGGGAGGCAGAGAAGCCACGATAAGCCTCAGGAACTAAAGGGCAACGCTACCCGGGCTCAGGCGCAGCCCACACCTGACCCGACCTCGGCCCCACGCAGTCACTAATCCTGGGCAAGCCCATTAAACCCAGTCCTGTTTCCCGCACAGCGCCCACAGAGCACTGGCCAACTTTCCTCCCATGCGCCCCCCGAGGAAAAGCCCCATCCCCTCGGCCACTCACCGGGCAGCACTGAGGACGCGCGACGGGACAGGCAGCGAGCTGTGGTCACATCCCAGCCGGGGCGCAGCGGCGCGGGGGAGGCAGCGCCGGAGCTACGGGCCAGCCGCATGGAGAGGAGAGCTCAGATGGGCTGTGCGGGGCGGGCCACACCGGCATACTGCGCCGGCGGCAGGCCTGGCCCGGCCCGGAGCACTGGGGCAGCACCGGCACCACCACCGGAAGTGCAGGCGGCAACATCCGGGTCGCTGCGTGACGGCTGGAGAGGGCGGAGCCACGCCGGCGGGGAGGGCGGGGCTGGGGCAGCGTCCGCTTGTGTTGTGGCGGGAAGGAGCGTGAGGCGGGAAATGGGTGGTGCGCGCGCGCGCTGGCTGTTTCCCGCCAGTTCTGACGGCGGTGCGGGGCAGCGGGAGGAACGGAGCGCGGCACCGTTAGAGCGCGGTTAGCAAAGGGCTCTGTCTGCTGGAAGTGGAAGTAGAGCTCTGTGCTTGCGTTCTCCGGTGGTGCTGGCCAGGGTTTTGGTGTGGCTTACCACAGGTCTCAGAGCAGCAGGCACAGGCATGTCCCTTCCCCTCATGAGGGAGGAGGTGAAGCTCTGCTCCTTTGGCAACGCAGCCCTGCTTCCCGTTCCTGGTGATGAGGCAGATGAAGTGGCAGCATGAGGTTCAGATCTGAGAAAGCTCAGTGCCACTTGACTAAGGTGGTGGGTGTTCCACAGACTGCTGGGTGTACATCCAGCGCCGTGCCACCACAGTGGAATGGGAGCCCACAGATCCTCCTGCCAGGAAATGGCAGCCACTTAAAGTATTTTTGGGGTCATTGTGTCCCAGCATTTCTTAACATTTCTCACTAGTTTTGGGGAATAGAAGTTTCCAAACACAACAAAAGAATTGTTTCCTCTGTTTCCATGAACACTAAAATACAGCATTTTGCTCTCCAGGGAACGAATAGCCTCTTAGGGCTCTCTACTCATAACCCTCTTCCTTTGCACCTTTTGGAAAGTGGGATGTTGCACAGTCCTTGCTTTAGCATGTTTTTCAAATTGCACATTGTGGTGGTTTTATTCATGCCTATTTCTGTGTTTTACATCATGGCTTCTAACTTTAGAGAAACACAAACCACATCTATCTTGTGCCTTTTTGGATCTCAGAGAACCACAGTAAGAGCTCCTCTTGTCTAGTAAACCATTAATGAATGCCACAGAGCAGCAATACGACAGTATGAAATCTGCAACCAGTTAGTTACTCTGATTACAGGCGTTTATGTGTTCTGCTAGTGTTTATGTGCAATAATTGGTGGCAAACTGTCTGTTCTGCATCAAACACTGCGTGGCTTCACACAGCCCTATGCTTTTCCAAACCTCTGTACTTTTGTTCAGATCAATACACTAGAATACTGTTGGAATTATTACCTACCCAAATATATATATTAAAAAAATAAAAAAAAAAAAAAGGTTTTGCAGTACTCATGAACAACGGAAAAGATAATTCAAGAGAAAAAATCTTGAAGGACAGTGGCTGTGCTTCCATTGTTGTTTGTGGAGGAGTTTTTAATGGCATGCATGCTGTCAATGGTGTTAGAAACTGAAACACCTGAATTTGGCATCTTGACTCTTCCATGGACATATGTCTTTATGTCAGAAGTATGACATCAACAGCATGTAAATTAATATGCTGTAGTTAGTATTTATTAACAATTTATTATTAATGAGTGGTATCTATTGTAAGCCCAAGGGACTTTACAAAGGAGTACCAGCTGTGTCAGGAAGGGGAAGGCACGCTCCCCCCTGGACACTTAATGCATCATTACCTCAAGAAATGAAAGGTAATGATGGAGATAGATCGCACAGGGATCTCCCTCTTCATTTCCCTGATAAAGTACAAAGGCCACTTTGAGGGAGTTCAGAAGGCAGCCAGGCATGCTGAACTAGAGCAGGTACCAGCCTTTACTTTTGAAGAGTCACTTCAGAGTCTGCTTAAACAGATGAGAAATCTTAGCAGATTATTATTAGCTTCATCCATCTCGAGCTCCCTCATCTGCAAAGCTTTCCAAGGCTGAATCCCTTCTCCTATTCAATCAACACAAAGTTGTCAGGCTGTAATGTGCGGCTGAGGCGTCTTTTCTCAATGCAATTTGAGATCATCTCTGTGTCAGCCCCTCAAACAGCACCAGCTTCCAAGAAGCTTTCGTTACACCAGCCCTTGAAACAAAAGCTGTGTGAGACTGAGCGTGGAAGCAAGGAGGGAAACGCTGCCAGGAACTCTGGGGGGTGATCTTCACGGTGGAGGGGTTAAAACCCCCATGGGACCTGTGCTGAGCCTCATCTGTGGTGAAGGAGGTGCGCAGGGAAATTTAAGAGCACTCTGGTAGACCAGCTGCAGTCACCAGGAGCAGTTTTCATTAGTCTTAAGTCATTTTAAACTACTAGGACACTACACTGGTGACCGTAGTGTCACGCTTGTCTTTGAGAGTACAACCACACTGAACTAGCTCCTCCAAAGCCCTGCACACATCTGCTACAGCTCCCATCTCACCCTGCCGTCCACAGCCTTTGTGCTGATAGTAACCGCAGCAGCGTGATGGAGCAGCCGTCAGAGGGCTGGAGACAGGGAAGGAGCGTCTGTCTGTCTGTGGAAGGGTAAAGGAGCCCCTCAGAAATGTTGCAGTAAAGATGTTGCTATTTATACAATGGCACCAGCGGAAAAGCAAAAAGGGGATTGTATTTCTGATGAATTCTGGCATGTTTGGGAGCTGTTTGCAAGAACAAACATGAAGGATCTTAGAAATGTTAACATTTACAGTGTTTCTAATTATATACACAGGTGTCTGGGGAGTTGGGGGTTACAAAGCAACAATACTTTGTCTCTTCAAGGTGTCTGTATTGAACAGGCACAGCACAAAATAACCAAGCAAGAAAAGGAAACAAAAGTTCTATATTTCATTTTGGTAGCAAAAGGTAACTTCTTGTTTTATCCAAAAAAAGCGGGCATCAAACTGATGGAGTTACTGTACCAACCTCTCATTTAATCCTCCAGGATCATAAAAGATTTCAATTGCTCTGCAAGGCTGCTAGAGCCACAGTTAGCACACAGGGGGGAAAAATGCTTCCCTGTGAGGGTGCTGAGGTGCTGGCACAGGGTGCCCAGAGAAGCTGTGGCTGCCCCATCCCTGGCAGTGTTCAAGGCCAGGTTGGACACAGGGGCTTGGAGCAAGCTGCTCTAGTGGAAGGTGTCCCTGCCCGTGGCAGGGGTTGGAGCTGGATGAGCTTTAAGGTCCCTTCAACCCAAACCAGTCTGGGATTGTGATGTGTTAGGTGATGAAAATAATGACAGCCAGGAGAAGAGGCACCGTTAAAAAGACTGTAGAGGGTTCCTGAGGGAGGAGAGAAACCTAGTGATGCATTTGTGCAGAGTAATGAGCAGCACAGAACAGGCGAGGCAAGCGTTCCCATCGCTTCGTTATTGCCAATAAAGGAAAGGAGATAGCTTTTGAAATTGAAAATTCTCATTTCCTTGAGATTTGGAAAGTGCAATTGAAGCAAAGCTGTGCAAAGCTCACCGGGAGGAACACACCCAGCGTTGTGGCCACTCGATCCCAGACAGCGCCTTGGCTGGTGGGAGGGGGAGAGGGAGATAGGGGCAGCCATGAGCGGAGATCATGAGGGGAGAGGAGGGGCGGCCATGAGAGAAGATCATGAGGGGACAGAAGGGTCTGCTATGGGGGGAGATCATGAAGGGAGAGGAGGGGCTGCCATGAGGGGAGAGGAGGGGCAGCCATGAGGGAAGATCATGAGGGGAGAGGAGGGGGGCAGCCATGAGGGAAGATCATGACGGGAGAGGAGGGGCGGCCATGAGGGAAGATCATGACGGGAGAGGAGGGGCGGCCATGAGGGAAGATCATGACGGGAGAGGAGGGGCGGCCATGAGGGAAGATCATGAGGGGAGAGGAGGGGCGGCCATGAGGAACATCATGAGGGGAAAGGAGTGGCGGCCACCAGGGAAGATCATGAGGGGAGATGAGGGGTGGACATGAGGGGAGATCATGAGAGGACAGGAGGGGTGGCCATGAGGTGCGGCCATGAGGGAAGATAATGAAGGGAGAGAGGGGCGGCCATGAGGGAGGATAATGAAGGGAGAGAGGGGCGGCCATGAGGTGCATTAATGAAGGAAGATGAGGGGCAGACATGAGGGAAGATCATGAGGGGAGAGGAGGGGCAGCCATAAAGGGCAGCCATTAGGAGAGATAATGACGGGAGAGGAGGGGTGGCCATGAAGGAAGATCATGAGGGGAGATGAGGAGCGGCCATGAGAGAAGATCATGAAGTGAGAGGAGATGTGGCCATGAGAACAGATTGCAAGGGGAGAGGAGGTGCAGCCATGAGTGAAGATGAGGGGTGGCCATGAGGTGTGGCCATGAGGGAAGATCATGAGGGGAGAGCAGGGGCAGCCATGAGGAGCAGCCATGAGTGAAGATGAGGGGCGGCCATGAGAAGCCATGAGGGAAGATCATGAGGGGAAAGGAGAGGTGACCGTGAGGGAAGATCATGAGGGGAGAACAGGGGAGGCCATAAGGGGCAGCCATGAGGGAAGATCATGAGGGGAGACAAGGGGTGGCCATGAAGGGAGATAATGAGAGGACAGGAGGGGCAGCCATGAGGTGCGGTCATGAGGGAAGATGAGAGGCAGCCATGAGGAAAGATCATGAGGGGAGAGGAGGGGCGGCCATGAGGGAAGATCATGAGGGGAAATAAGGTTGGCCTTGAGAGAAGATCATGAGGGCATAAGAGTGGCAGCCATGAGGGAAGATCATGAAGGGAGAGGAGGGGTGGCCATGAGGTGTGTTAATGAGGGAAGATCAGGGGCGGCCATGAGGGAGGATCATGAGGGGAGAGGAGGGGCAGCCATGAAGGAAGATCATGAGGGGAGAGGAGGGGTGGCCATGAGGAAAGGTCATGAGGGGAGAGGAGGGGCAGCCATGAGGGGAGATCATGAGAGCACAGGAGGGGCGGCCATGAGGTGCAGCCATGAGGGGAGAGGAGGGGTGGCAATGAGGTGCAGCCATGAGGGGAGATCATGAGAAGACAGGAGGGGCAGCCATGAGGTGTGGCCATAATGGAAGATGAGGGGTGGCCATGAGGAAAGATCATGAGGGGAGAGGAGGGCCAGCCATGAGGGGCAACCATGAGGGAAGATCATGAGGGGAGAGCAGGGGTGGCCATGAGGGAAGATCATG